GGGTTAGAGGGGGTGAGTGGAGACACTGCCTCCCCCTGTGTGTGTTTCACTTCTGCGCTTTGTATCCTCCTAGGGGCACGCTCGATATCGGGGTCCACCGCACGCACTAGGGATGCCGTCCTTTCCGGCTTGGCGCTAACCTCACCTGAGGGGTGTCGCCGTCTCAAAAGAAGAGACAAAAACGTCACAGAGGAGAGACCCACGCTCACTAGGCAGGCCCCCAACTAGACGTCTTTCATTGCGGATGTTGTACGCTCCGGCATTTTGAGCTCCTTCGAGCGAATACCTAGAACTTCTTTCAAGCACCTCCTAGACCGACCTCTCTTCTTGGGGGGGGTGTTTCATGATGGGGATGGAATGGATGATGGTCGTGGTAGGCCCGAGGAAAGGGGGGGGGGGGGGAAGGGGGAGGGGGAGGATGGTGCTCAGGCCTGAGCAAACCACGCGTCCTTGAAGGCATAGACAAAGGCGGATGCGAGAGCGGCGTGGACGATGACTGCGGGACGAGTTGCTGCCGTGCTCTCGTTGAGGGCGATGAGGGTGGCCTGGATGTGGTAGAAGGTGCAGACGATGGCGGCCATGGTCTTGGCCTCGGTTGACGTCGAGGCCCAGGCGAGGTAGGAGAGCAGGGCAATGGCGCCTGCTGCTGCACCGAAGAGGCGAGTCGGGAGGCTGTGGGCGGGCAAGGGCAAGGGCAAGGGCAAGATGAGAGTGAGTGCATGGGCATGGGCATGGACATGGGCATGGGTATGAGTATGGGTATGGGTGTGGTGGCCACGTACAGTGACTTGCTCACGGCGTTGGTGAGGGGAGAGACAGAGAGGCCAAAGAGGACAATAGCAAAGCCGATGCCCTCCATGAAAGTGTTGCCCAGAAAGGCCACGTCCTCGGCAGTCACAGTTGCCATGGCCATACTGTCGTCAAGTGGTAGCGGTAGTGGCGGTAGGCGGGGTAGGGTAGGGGAGGGGGTTGGGGAGGGGGAGGGACTGTCAGGGGGGCTGCCATCGCCACGGCCACGGCCACTCCCGCCACAGCCACCACCACCACAGTCCTCCCCTCACCCCCCCCCCCCCCTCCCTCCGCGCCACATGCGTGAGGTACAGCTCAAACGACTGCTGTGGTTGCTGGCGTCCCGGGCGGCTCGCTCACGGTGGCTGCGGTGGCTGTGCCTGGTGGCTGTTGTTGGCCTGGCTGCCATCACCTATGGTCTCTGGCTCGTCCTGGATCCCATCATGCTTAGAGACGTCAGGCAGAGTGGGCAGCTCCCGCCAGTGCGGCAAGACTGCTTGAAGGTCGCGGATCGCCGCGTCCGCCATCATCAGGGCTCACTGCAAATCGATGCCGGTGTGGACTGGTTCACCCTCATCACGCCGCCGACCACTCCGCTCGCCGAACTGCGCACACCGGGCGTCCATCCTGCCCTGGGCTTGGTTCACTGCGCGGCAGCTTACGCTGGTGCGAGACGGCTCGATGCTGCCATCTTTGGCTTGATGGAGATTGCTGACGCAGCGTCAGAGAGTACCTTCAGCAGGGTGTGGCAGCTGGCAGCATCGGCCCGCGAGTTCCTCATGCTCAGCCCGGCGGGTGTCCGCCTCCTCATTGCCCGCCATCCGGTCCATCGCATGCTCGCCGCTTATGCTGAGCGCCACGTGCTCTTCAATGATAACGAAGAGTCGCTGGACGCTCGTTGCGTCGCACTGGGTCTACCAGCCGGCGCCTCCTGTCCGCCAGCCCTTGAGGAGCTGGCGCTGGACGAGTTTGCCGCCCGGGTGGCGGCTGCACTGAGCGCACCACCTGCCGTATGGGACGCTGCGTGGCTCTGGGCGCCAGCGGTGGCTGTCGGCAATGCGTGGGACCTACTCCATGCCTACGAGCATGTTGTGGACTACGACGATCTCGACAATGGCCTCGAGTGCATCCTGAGCCAGCTGGAGGTGCGGCTGATGCGACGCGAGCCCGCCCTCCGCTACCTTTATGCCTCAGGCTGGCAGCGCCAGCCGCTGCCACCGCCACCACCACCAGCCGCGGCTGCTGTCGCCTTGGCCTGCGCCTCGTCGGCCAAGCCGCAGTCGTGCGTCCACTCGGCCCTTGCCACTATCGCCCGTCTCTACCGCAAGGACTTTCTTGCATTTAGCCTTCAGCTCGGCTGGGAGACGTTGGACGTGTAGCCCTCGCTGTGCCATTGCAGCTATTGAACGCCTCCCTCCCACCTGACCGCTGCCGCCATCGTGGTGTCACTCAGCGCGCTGTGAGCCTAAATGTCTCCCCATCCTGCCATCACCCGCTGGCACGGCTACGGCCCCTTGTCCTTGGGCGAGTCACACCGCTCGCCGCGACCACACCAAGGATATGAAGGCGGTGTCCAAGGCTGGGCGTGCGGCCAAGCTGGTGTGTCGGGCGTGCGGAGCTACCAAGTTTGCACTGCAGGACGGCGGGTTGATGGTGTGCTCGCGGTGCTCGACGGTGTCGAGCGACTACGTGGCGCAGGAGACCGAGAACAGCGGCGATGTGTGGCTCGGCTCGTCGCAGCTGCGGAAGAACATGCGATCGCGGCTACGGGAGGAGCGGCGAATGCTCCGGCAAAAGTCCAAGCCCGGCAAGAAGAAGCGCGGCCGTCAGAATCTGCCGTACATGAGCCTCGGCCAGTTTCTTGCGCTGCAGAGCAAGGCCCTCAAGGCCGTCCTCGCTGCCGCCTCGCGCAACCTCGGCCTTCCGAGCGAGTCGGTTGCCTGGTGCCGTGAGACGTACTTTGCCGTGATCGAGGGCCAGCGGAAGCGTGGTCACCTCTTGATCGATAAGACGCGGTCCGCGTCGCAAGCCTCGCTCCCCTTTGCCATCGGCGTGCTCGGCAAGGAGGTGGCTGCCAAGCTGGGCCTCCGCTGGCGCGTCCATCGTCGGTCGCCTCTGTTCAGAATGACAAAGGAGGACATGGCCGCCGACTCGTTTGCCCTTGCTGACGAGCCGGTGGAGACGATCGATCTGGCTGTTGGCATTCTCGAGACGCTCGGCAATCGAAGCGGCTCGCTGGTGTACGTCCTCGTTGGCCTCGCCTTTGCTCATGCCGGGCTTCCGGTCTCCGTGCTGGACATTGTGCGGTGGCAAGCGCGCGGCTTACTTGGATGGAACGAGTACGACCGCATCGTCCGCGGCTGGGCGCATCGCGGGCCGTTTGCCAACATCCTGCGATCTACCCTCATGTTCCGCCGCTTCTACCGGGTAACGACCGAGCTTGTCTTCCGTCTCGTCCCGCGCGATTGGCTCGACCCTCCCAGCTACCTCTACATTGTGCGCTATGCACGGGCGCTGGAGCTTCCGCCGGCGATGGCACATCTCGCTCTGCGCATTCATGGCCAGATGACGCTAATTGCCCGCCCGCAGGCCGAGTCGGTGCCCGGCACGAATGAGGCCGTCGCGCTGGCCATTGCCATTGCGCTCGTTAGGCGCTACGCGTTTAGTTATGACCAGCAGCAGCCGCACAACGCCGAGCTCACTGCCGTTCTGCAGGGCATCTTCGAGTTTGACTTTCCATCTTGGTTCGAGGCGCTCGCCCACAAGGAGATGACCCGGCTGCGCCCGGACCTTGCACTCCCACGCGACGATGAGTACACCTACGGGATGGCTGCGGACGGAAAGCCGGTCTCGTACGATACCGCGCTGGGGCTGGCGGTTCACGGCATCGAGACGCTGGCTCTGCGGTGCGAGCTCCCAGAGCAGGGCTCACACAACGCATCTCGCGGCATCCGCACCTCGCTCGGCCTCAGCGCCGATGTGATGAAAGAGCTTGCGTCGGCCGATCCGCTCGTCGGCAGCCAGCCGGCCGAGATGGAGGCCATGTCGTACTCGGAGACCATGTCGGAGCTCCTTCCGAATTTTGACGTTTCGCTCGACGAGCTGGAGCTGGAGCAGCCGCTGGGGCGCGGGGCGGGGACCTGCGAGCTCAGTGACGCGGCGTACGACCAGGCCATCGACACTGTTCTCAGCAATCTCATCAAGAACGCAGCGTGGGCCGAGGCTGACGGGCAAAACGACCAGCCGCAGGAGGCGCTGTGGGTCATGCACGCCATCGCTGACCATGTCGGCCTCGAGGCCGAAGCCTTTATCAACTCGGTCGACAACTGGACCAACGCCGTTGTGTTTGGCGGCTGGGACCTGCCGGCGATCGCCACCGGCGAAGGCATCTTTTCCTACTGGACGAAGCGGGGCAATGCGCCCGAGCACATGGCCGTCACCCATCGGCCGTGGTCGGAGGCACCGCCCGAGGTGTGGGCCGGGCCCACGCCTGGCGAGGGCATGGGCGGCGCAGGTGCCGACGTAGGCGTTGGCGCAGGTGAGGGGGCGGTCATCGAGCCGAGCTTGGGACCCGAGACCGAGGCGGAGAGTGGTGATGAGTTGGATGTGGTTTTATCGCTCTCGAGCTCAACTGCGGGTCCTAATTCTGGATCTGGATCTGGTTCGGGCTCGGGCGACGACGGTGGACCAGGCTCGTCCAGCAGCACTACTGCGAGGGGAGGGACCGAGGACCGGGGCGACGGCACCCACTGACAGAGGGGCCGAGCCAAATATAAAGTCGCTCAATAACGAGAACATTTCGCTTTTACTCTATTAGACAAAGGCGGCACAAAGCGGAAGCGCAGCGTGGGCCTGGGCCTTGATGTCGGCGGCGAGGGCACCGGCCGGGTCGAGGCGGCCGGCGAGGTCGACGGCGGCAGCGAGGACGACGTGGGCGTCGGTGTGAACGGGCTGGACAGCGAGGGCGGCCGAGACGGCGCGAGTGAGGGCAGCCTTGAGGTCGGCCGACGGCTCCATGGCAACGACGGTGAGGAGAGAGTCGATGATGGCGATGACGTCGTCAAGGGCCGTGGCGTTGGCAAGTGCGGTATTGCCGGCGGCCTGCAGGGCGTCGAGCGAGGCGTGGGCGCCGCCGGGAAGGGCGGCGAGGCGGTCGTTGACAAAGGCGACGACGGTGGTGTCATCAGCACATTCAGCGAGGAGCGAGCCGTTGATGGCGGCGGCCTCGATGCGCCAGCGGGCAGCAAGGGCCTGCGGCGAGGCCGGGTCGAGGGCGAGGAGCAGGGCGAGGGAGCGGAGGGCGAGAACCGGCTTGTTGCGAGCGAGATGGATGCGGACAGCGATGGCGTGGGCGTCGAGGTCGTTCGGGTGGAACTTGGTGAGCTTGGCCACAATGTTAGCGGCCTTAGCGAGCGGGTTCTCGACCGAGGCCATGGCGAGGCCGGCAGGGTCGGTGTCGGGATGCTTGCCGGTGGACTTGCGCTGGCGGCCGGCGTTGGCCTCGACCTTCATGCGGCCGGCGATGGGCTCGACCTGGGCCTTGCGCGCGGCGCGCGCGGCCTTTGAGGCAGCGCGAGCCTCTGCGGGCGGGAGGGCGGCGTGTGCGGCGGCCTCCTCGTGAAGCTTGAGGTAGATGGTGCATGCGCCGAGGGCGGCAGTGGCGTAGCGCTTGTCCGAGTGGATGGCGCGGAAGGTGCGGAGCATGTCGATGTAGATGGGGATGGAGAAGCAGCGGAGGGCGTACTTGTGGAACTCGTACTGGTCGGTGACGTACTGGTCGATGGCGTCCATGGCAAAGGTGAACATCTTGAGGGCCGGGCCCAGCTCGCCGCGGCGGACGTGGGCCTCGCCGCGGGCGAGCTCGTACCACAGCGTCTGCATGTCAAACATTGAGTTGTACGCGTCCGAGTCCTTGGTGAAGAGGCGGACGACGTCCATGGCCTCGGGCACCATGTCGGCGGCGAGCAGGTACTTGCCGGCGGTGGTGTTGAGGTAGCGGTCGGCGAGATCGAGCGAGCGGGCAAACTCGATCCACTCGACGGCGGTCACGTGGTCGCCACACTGGCCGTAGATGACGGCCTTGAAGGCGTAGAGGTCGACAACGGTGGGCGTGTGTGCAATGGCGGCGTTGATGGTCTCGAGTGCGAGCTCAGACCGGTGGGTCGCCTGGTACAGCTGCGCCACAAAGAAGAGGACCCAGAGGTGCGTCGACGGCGGCTCGGCCTCGTCGCCGCCGGTCATTGACGTACCGGCGGCGGCGCGTGGCAAGTACTCGCTGACCACCAGCTCCTCGAGGGCGCCCCAGTGGGCCGGGTCGGTAGTGACACCGGCGATGCGGTTGAAGAGCGAGGGCGTGCCCTTGCGAAGCGGCTTGGGGAGGACAACCTGCAGCTGGGTCTTGTAGTCGGCCACGTTCCGCGAGAAGCGGAGGATGATGTCCTGGACGGCGTTGCACTTGGGGTACGTCTCGGCGAGGGTTGCATAGGTGGTGTGGAGCGAGTCGAGGGCGGCGGGCTCCATGTCGGCCGGCTTGTCTGCGAGCGTCACGCCCTTGGCGGCAAGCATGCCCTTGTGGTACTCGAGGTTCTCCGGGTTGATGGCAATGAGCTTGGCGTAGGCGGCCTCGGCCTCGGCGGTCTGGCCGAGGGCGAGGTAGCACTCGGCGCGGAAGACCAGGAGCTGGTCCTTGTCGGCAATGTTGGTCTCTGCGGCGTCCATGGCAGCCAGGGCGCGGGCGTGCTCGCCGCCTTCGATGAGGATCATGATCTTGTACAGCTGGATTTCCGACGTGGCGGCCTTGGGCACCGCCGTCGGATCGTCGGCCGGCTGGACCCACGGCTCGAGGCCGCCGGTCGAGTCCTCAAAGGTGTCGAGGACCGTCAGCGCCATCGAGTAGTTGGCGTTGAGGTGGTACGCAATGGCGAGAGCAATCCAGTTGCGCTTGACGTCCGACTTGATCTTGAGCGCCTCGTTGGCCTGGTCGAGGAAGGCCTCCATCCGCTCCGTCTGCACGTACAATGCCATGAGCTCGTAGCGCATGTTCATCTCGTGCTCGGGTGCAGCGTACTTGAGTGCGTTCTTGAACGCCTTGATCGCCGTCGTGTACATCGAGTGCGACTTGCAGAAGAGCCCGTAGTAGTTCCAGCAGGCAAACGAGGTCGGGTTGGACTCGACGCCAGCCACGATCAGCGCCTCGCCGTCGTCCTTCTTGCCCATGGCGTCCACCACAATGCCCTTGAGCGTCAGCGTCTCGCCATGCTTCGGGCACGCCTTGAGGATGTTATCCGCAGCCTTGAGCGCCTTCTTGTACAGCTTGGCATCATACGCAGTCTGTGCACTCCCTCATATGATGGCTCCCATGAGTCCGACGCTGTGCAGTCGGCCAAGAATTTGGCATCCCACCGCAGCAGAGGGGAGGAGGGGAGGAGGGGGGGGGGGGGGGATGGAGAACAGCTGGCAGAGGTAGAGAAAAATCTTGTTCAAGCGTGTGCAAACGTACCTTAATTGTACGGAAGTCCTTGTTGAACTTGGCCGGGAGCTCGTTGGGGTCGCTCGTGGCCACGGACGTCGCCGTCTTGGCCTTCTTCTTGCGCCGGCCCATAGGTGGTAGTGGTGGTGGTTGAGTACTGTCACTCGACAGTCGTCGCTCGTCGGTCGTCTGCCCGCCGCACCGCTCTGCCGCCCGCCCGCACCTCGTCGGCCACCCGCCGGTTGATCGCCACCCTTTCAAGGCGACTTGTGGGGGGGGAAGGAGAGAACGATGGACGTGATTGGGTTGACGGACATGGGTTGATGCTGGCCACACCCCGCGACAAGTGACAGAGGTGAACACAACCAAGAGCAACCATCCGTCTCTTGCAGAAACCAGACGTGCTTGAGTATGGCTAGTGTTGGCCATAGTGCGGGCGTATCCGACAGTGAGTCTGTCAATGCCATGTACGAGGAGGTGGCCGGCTGGTACGCCGCCGGTATGGACGACGAGATGGCCAAGCCAATGTACGCCGAGGGCCTTCCGGACTTTTTGACTCGGGTTCTTGCCACCACAAGCACGGAGGCCGCTGAGGACGCGCCCATTGTCGATGTCGGATGCGGATCCGCCGATGCGCTGGCAGTCCTTGCTCGCCTCGACCGCGTTCCGCCGCTGGTCGGCCTGGAGCCGTCGGCGGCGATGCGCGCGGCTGCTGCCGCCAAGATCGAGGCGCTGCCTCCAGCTGCGGCTAGTCGCATCACTATTCGCGATGGAAGCACGGCAACGGAGCTTGAGAGCGGCAGCTGCCGGGGCATCATCTGCTTCTTTGTCGTCCACCACGTGGCGGCGACCGATCTGCCCGCGCTCTTTGCGGCGTGGAGTAAGGCGCTCGTCGCCGGCGGCCAGATCTATCTTGCGGCCTGGGAGGGTGAGGGCGTTGTCGATTATGGCGGCAAGTACGACATTGACGCCGTCCTCCACCCGCTCTCGGCCCTCACAGCCGGCCTTGGCGCTGCCGGCCTCGTCGTCGACACCGATGCGACCCACACCGAGACCGATCCTGACTTTGGCATGTCCATCGCCATCATCAAGGCCCACAAGCCGGGCCTCTGACCAAACCTGACAGCCGCTGACACAAGCACCAGCACCAGCACCAACAGCAGAGAACAACCACAGCCGATCGCATCTCTCTCTCTCTCTGCCCCCCCCCCCCCCTCCCCCCTCCTACCTTTTCTATCTCCATCCACACACCACTGCCACTGCCATGCTCACCGGCCGGACTGCGATCGTGACCGGCGCATCGTCGGGCATCGGCGCCGGCGTGGCCCTGGCCCTCAGCTGGCATGGTGCGCAGGTAGCCTGTACGCACCCCCCCTACCCCCCCTCCCCCCCCCTCACCTTCCCTCCCCTCCTCTTTGCTCACCCCTACTCGCTTTCTCCTCCTCAGTGTGTGGGCGAAACAGCGAGCGGCTGGCTCAGGTCCAGGCGGAGGCTGCTGGGCCGACAGTGGTGGTGGCCGGCGACGTGCGCGAGACCGAGGCGCCCGATGCAGCAGTGGCGGCGGCGGTCGATTCACTCGGCGCTCGTCCAGACATTCTGGTCCATGCAGCAGGTGTGGCGATCAACGCCCCGCTGGCATCGATGCCGCAGGATGCGCTGGAAGAGGTCATCGACATCAATCTCACCTCGGCCGCCCGATACGCTCGCAGCGTAGTCCGCTCCGCTCTCCGCCAGCGCCCATCACGCCGAACTGACATCGTACTGATTGGGTCGGTGGTCGGCGCCGGGCTGGCATCGCGTGGTCAGACCGCCTACGCGGCATCAAAGGCAGGTCTTCGCGGCCTCTCGGCATCGCTGGCTCTGGAGATGGCTCCCCGCGACTTCCGGGTCAATGTCGTCGAGCCGGGCTACATCAAGACTCCGCTCACCGACTCGCTTCCTGCCGACCGTGTGGAGGCCATCAAGGCTGAGGTCCCGCTCGGCAGCTTTGGCACCGTCGACGATGTCGTCCATGGCGTCATCTACCTCCTCACCTCCAACTACACCACCGGATCGGTCCTCACCATCGACGGTGGGCTCACCCTCTAGCATCCTTCCCATCTTCCGAATCTGTGCTCTGTGCTGTCAGCCTTTAACCCTTAACGGTACGGTCATTCGGACGCGTTGTCGCGCATCTCAAAGTGAACAACTCGATGATGCCTGACTTCAAGGTCACTGGCCGACGCTGCGCGACGCCTGCTTGGCCTGCGGCTTGAGGTGGGAGGCGCGCCCGCACTTGATGGCGGCCGACACGTAGACGCCCACCTGAAGGATGCCCAAGTTGCCCTCGCGGTGACGGACGGCTGGAGCATGCGCGAGGCGCGCGAGGTGCCGTACGGCGCCGATCCGGAGAAGCGGCGGGTGAGCCCCAACGCACCGTCCCCCCTGCCCTCTCAACCCGTACCGTAAAGAGTTAAACAGCCTCTTTGGCGCATCGCCGTCCGATCATGCCACGCAGCAACCAGCCAGTGTCGGCTTGGTCGTTGTCCGTCCACCACCTTTCTCTCGCCCTCACCACATGCAAGCCGGACCAGCCACCAGCCTCCTGTCACAGGTACGCAGCTTCCCCTTCCTACCTCTTGCTCTTTCTATCTCCCTACCTTGTCCCGTTCCGGACTCACCTCTTCGCCTCTCCTGCAGGTGCTGGCTGCGTCGGGCATGTCGCCCATACGCCTGCGGACCCGCGAAGCCCAGCGGCTGGCTCGCGAGTACGAGCTCGGTCGCCAGCTGGTGGCGGCCAATCCGGCACCACTTGCTCGCCCGCCACATGTCGCACGACTCATGGCCCGGCTGGGCGTCCACTCGCCACGGCTCAATCCGCCACAAAGCTCGCCATCTGCATCAGCGCTCCCGTCAGCATCACCTCCGCCGGCGCTGCCTGAGATATCCGCCGACGACGGCGCGTTGGACTCGCCGATGGCGCTAGTCCACGAAGCCTTTCGTCCGCTCCTTGTGGCCGAGCTGGATCCGACCGGCGAGGAGGCGCGCGAGTCGGCCCATCGCCCGCGGCGCGAGGTGGAGGGCCTCTCAGCTGACGCCTTTGCCAAGCTGGTGAGTGAGGGCCAGGTACAGGCAGAGCGGATCGCGACGCTGCAGCGGGAGAGGGACGAGGCAGAGGACGCCAAGGCGCGCGCTGAGCACGATCTTGCGGTCCTCGCGCGCCAGACTCGCGCGCTCGCTGAGGTTGTCGAGGAGCAGGCAAGTGTCATCCGCTCGTGGGAAGACTACCGCTGCTCGGTCCAGGCCGCGCTTGCAGCCGAGGCGAGCGCCAAGAACCAGTGGCGTGACAAGGTCAACGAGCGCGACACCCTGCTTGCGCAGCTGACACAAGAGTCTGAGGCGCTTACGGCCGAACACAATGCGGTAGCTGATGCGCTCACCGCCGCTCGTGCCGAGAATGCAGCACTCGCAGCAACCAACCGCGAGCTCGAGGCCGAGCTGGCGGCTCGTGACACCAAGATTGCTGATCTCACTACCACGCTGCGGCTGGCGCAGCAGACCGCAAACGAGTCGATCCTCGACGCCGTCAGCCGGGCCGAGACCGCAAATACATCGCTACGGACCCAGCTCGCCCACGAGCGGGCCAGAGTCCAGGGCCTTGTGGACACCGCCGACGCTCGCGAGCGCAAGCACGCCGACGCCATCTCTGCCCTTCAGCGAAGGATCCGCGACCGCGACCGCAAGCTCTCTGCCCTCTCGGCGCGCTCAATGTCTGGCAAGTGATGATGGCTGTTGCGGAAGAGGTGATGCTTGTTTTTTGGCGAAATCAGATAAGCTGCGGTCGGGCGAATACGCCCTTCCGCTTGTGAATAGTCGTCACGAGACGAAGACGCTAACGCGATCCTCGATCTCGCCTCGGCACATCGGACAGTTGTGGATGAGCGACGAGCAGGTCGAGCAGGCGCAGACGTGCATGCACGGCATGAAGAGCTGTCCGCGCGGCTCGTGGTGGCAGATGACACACGACGCGCTGTGCACGTCGGAGACTGGCGGCGGCGAGGTTACCGGCGGCGGCGAGGTTACCGGTGGCGGCGAGGTTACCGGCGGCGGCGAGGTTACCGGCGGCGGCGAGGTTACCGGCGGCGACGAGGTTACCGGCGACGGCGGCAGCGACGAAGACTGGGTGCGGGTCCGGTGACGACCAGATCCGCCACGACGACTCCAGAGTCCACGACCTCCACGACGGCCATCTCCGCGATCATCAGTCTCGCCCCGCGCGTTGCCACTCATTGGCGAGCCACGGCGGGAGCCGCGGCTCTCGCTGTGGCGTCCGCCATCACGGCGGCCACCGCGGCGGAAGCCACGGCTCTCGCCGCCGGCATGCGAAGGGTGGTGACAGAAGTGGCACGATGCGCCACGGTTGCAGTTGCCCCGTGCAAAGTGTCGACAAGGCTTACAAGAGCCAGCGTCGTGCGGCGATCGTGGGCGGGCGTGATCTGGGTGGTGGCAGTGGCTGCACTCAGCCGACGACTTGGTGCAGCCGCTGGGACGGAACGCGTACCGGCACGGGACGCACGTCGTGCCATGAGCCTTGAGCGCACCAGCTGCGTGATCCGGGTGGTGACAGAGGGGACAGGAAGAGTCAAGCTGGCAACCCTGCGCGAAGCGGTCTGGGCAGGCGATGCAGGTGCCAGCTGCATGATCGCGAGTGGGCGCCGTCGTGGGCGCAACCCCCACTGGCGGTGGCGGTGACGACCGCGCCGCCGCAACCTGCGCCGGCTGGTTGGCCATCCGCAGACGCCCAATGGTGGAAGTTAGAATGTCCTGAACCAAGGGCATGTCCGGGTACGTGCCGAAGCGCTGGATGGAGACGAGAAAGTCGACAAAGCCGCGGAGGGTGGCCATAACCACCTCCTTGGACTGCGCGTTCTGATGAAACGAGCTGTTGAGCATGCGCCGGAGCGCGATGCACGTCCGAGTGTCGATGACCGGGATGTTCAGGCGCTCCACCTCCTTGAGAAGTGCACGAAAGTCAAGCTCGGACGTGTCGATGCCGAGCACCGCCAGAAAGTGGCGGAGTACAGGCGTGGTGTGGGTCACCACCTCGTCCAGAACCTCAGCAAGCGAGGCGATGGCGTCGATAGCGGGCTGCGAAGGAAGAGACATCTTGATCTTGATCAATGGTGTCGAGAGTAAAGGGTATGTGTTTGTGGAAGGTCCACACCGATGCTCGATATCGTCGCCTTTTAAGCGCGCCGTCTTTGCAAACTGCACAACTGCGCATCTCCGCCGAAGCCATGTCACTTTCGCACTTTTTGCACTTTCTGGTCTTCGACAGCCGCCGGTCTCTTCGCTTGACTCCTCGCCAGCCATCCCCGGTCACGTGACCACCTGAAAGCCCTTGACACCCGAGCAGACCTCTCCCCCCTCCCCTCTCCCCCCCTCCCTCTCTCAAGACATGGTTACGGCAAACAACGCGGTGGTGGTGGTGGTTGCAGCGTGCGTGGCGGCTGCGCTGGTGGCGGGCGCGGCCGGCAGCGGAGTGACGCTGCGGGCGACGCCAGGAACGCTGCCGCACTCGGGAGCCAACGTGACGGTGAGCTGGACAGGGGTGACGCATCCGTCGGTCGACGACTTTGTGGCACTGTATGTGCCTGCGGGCAATCCGGACAGCAAGTACTTTGGCAAGTACATGGCGACCAACGCCACCGGATGGAAGTCCGGATCGGGCTCGTTTGTCATTGCCGACGCCGTCCTCAACTTCCGCCAGCCGCTGCAGCTGCGGCTGTTCTCGCGGGCTTCGGCAGACGTTGACGCGCTTGCGGTTGTCGCCGTCTCGAACAATGTGGCGCCGGCCAACCCGAACGAGCCGACAATGGGCCATCTGGCGCTCGGTGAGGCCGCGGGCTCGATGTCAATCTCGTGGACGACCCGCGACCTCGGCACGCCCATGGTCCGCTGGGGCGCGTCGCCTGATAGCCTCGACGCGCAGGCGCCGGCGACGACGACGACGTACACCACTGGTGACCTGTGCAACGCGCCGGCGAACGAGTCGGTCAACTTTATCAAGCCGGGCTCGCTCCACACCGCGGTCATGACCGGGCTCAAGCCGGGCGCCACAGTGTACTACACGTACGGCTCCGAGGCCTTTGGTTGGGCGGAGGTGGCGTCGTTTGTGGCGCCGGTCCCTGCGGGCGCCGAGCAGGGCGTCAAGGTTGCGGTGTTTGGCGATCTTGGCGTCGCACTGCCGTTCACCATCGGGCCGGAGCAGCAGCCGCCGGCCAAGAAGACGCTGCAGTGGGTCCGCAAGCACGACCCGCAGCTTGTGCTGCACGTGGGCGACATCTCGTACGCGCGCGGCTACTCATTCCTTTGGGAGTACTTTTTCGACCACATCGAGGATCTGGCGACGAGCCGGCCGTGGATGGTCGGCGTCGGCAACCACGAGTGGGACTACGAGCATCCGCCGCCGAACGACCCGTCGCGTGTGCCGTGGCGCCCGCCGTTTGCCAACTACGGCACCGATTCCGGCGGTGAGTGTGGCGTGCCGTACATGAAGCGCTTTGCCATGCCGAACGCCAACGTCTCGTCGAACCTGTACTACTCGTTTGACTTTGGCAACGTCCACTTTGTCACGCTCTCGTCCGAAACCGACTTTGTGGCTGGCTCGCCGCAGTGGACCTGGCTCGCGGCCGATCTCGAGAGCGTCGACCGGACCATCACGCCCTGGCTGGTGGTCTCGCTCCACCGGCCGATGCTCTCGTCGTCGCATGGCAACATGAACTCGAAGCTCGTCGACCAGTTCGCCATTGCGTTTGAGCCGCTCTTCCTCAAGCACGGCGTCGACCTCGTCCTTACCGGGCACGTCCACAAGTACGAGCGCTCGGAGCCGATGAAGTCACTGTACCCGGAGCGCGCCATCGGCGCGCCGGGCCACCCCATTTACGTCGTCCTTGGCATGGCCGGCCACACCTTCCAGATGCCATGGTCCCAGTACTCGTCGAACCACTTCTTCCAGCCGGCCTGGTCCGTCTTCCGTACCGCCAACTGGGGCTACTGCATGATTGAGACCACTGCAGACACTCTCACCTTCCAATACCGCGGTGACCAGTCCGACGGCGTCCACGACGAGATCGTCCTCTCCCGCTCTGTCCAGGCCGCGCATCGCGCCCGCCTTGCCGCCGGCCACGGCCGTGACTAGATCCCTCCTCCTCCTTCCACCAGCAAACACAAAGCACCTGGGTTACGTCGTGGCGTCGGCCGCCGACCCGCCTCAGGTCGGTGCGGCGGTACGACCTGGTACCACCCGTACTCCTCTCAGGCTCCAGCCACCCGCCCATGCCAGCCCCGCGCGAATGGGACGCACCGCCCCCGCGGCTAGTGGAAAAGCTGGTCGAGGGCCAGCGGCTGCGCCCCCCGTTTGCGTCGCTGGTGAGCGTGCTGCTTGCGGCGCGAGGCGAGGCGCACCCGCGGCGGACGACGCCCGCGGCGCTGGAGACCTCGCTAGCCAACGCGGTCTTTGCCGGCACGACGCCGCGATGGGCAAAAGTCGGGCTGTCGGTGGCGGCCGATGTCATGTACTCGATCCTACGCACGCTCGAGGCCGGCGATGGCCATCCGGCGCTCCTCCCGCCGGCTGCTCACGCTGCCGTCCTCGCCGCCGCCGACAGCTACGTCGGCCGTGGCGAGCACTGCAGCGAGCTGTACCTCACTGCCATCGATCGTGCAGTAGGGAGAGCCAGCAGCGACGACTATCCTGCTGCACGGAGCGCCAAAGCTGTGGCCCGCCTGGCGCCGGTCATCGATGCGCTCCATCCAGCCCGCCTCACTCTCCTCACCGCACTGCTAGTGTACGGCTCGGTGCTGGCGGCGGCGGGAACGTCGGTCCCAGAACTTGCCCGGATTCTGGGCAAGACTGTCCACGTCCATCCAGCTGAGGTGCTCCCGGACGACGAGAGCGCAGCGCGTGCGGTGCTCCGAGCCGACGGAAGCCGCATTGCTCGGCTCCTTGCGCTACTCATCGAGGACTTTATCCCGCTGTTTGGCTACCCGGATCTTGATGCGCTGGGCATAGTCATGCCATCACTAACCTTGAACGCTGCCGGCGCTGATGCTGCAGACGATGTCGACGTCGATAGCGGTTCGTCGTACACGTACTCGTACATGGACGTGACTGCGAGTGCAGCCGGCACGCCGCGGCCCCAGTCCGCGGCAGGCCCACCTTCCGGCGCAGACACTGAGAACGACGCTGACGAGACATCGTTTGTCTCGTCGGCCTCGTCGTACGCACACAGCCCGGTCTCGCCAACATCACCAGCGGCGTCGCTACCTCCATGCGCGATCCCACGGGTCCTGCTGACGCTTGAGGGCTGCAGCGGCTCGAGCGGGATTCTCACGCCGCGTCGGATTACCGCGCGGCAGATGACCGCCACGTCGCTCACGGGCCAGGGCTCGTCGGTGTCAGTTCCCGGCTCCGGCTCTCAATCTGGCTCCGGATCTAGCTCTAGCCTCGAGCGGGCAAACGCGACGCAGGATAGCCATGCCCCACAATCCGAGCATATCGTTGCGCCAGCGGCCAGTACCGGAGACTGGACAGACTTTACCTATCCACTCGGGCCGCTTGCTTCACGTCGCCAAGCTTCGCGCGGGCGCGACCTGTCGGCCTCGCCGTCGTGGATGGCGTCGTTCGAGGGGTGGTCGCCGCCGCCGCCACGGTTCTCGGCGCCACCGGCGGATAGAGCGGATGTTGGCATGGCACGCCCGCGTGACCCGGCACCGGTCTACCACCCGGCGCCACCACCGCCACCGACGCAGTCGGAGCTTGACGCTCGAGCTGTACGCCGGTGCGAGGAGCGCCGCGCTGCGCTAGCCCGGCAGCGGGAGGCGGCGCTAGCCAGCGTCCACCTCGATCCGCCACCGGCACCGCCGCACATCGGATACGCCGCACCGTGGAATTTGCCGATCGAGACACGTGCATCACTTGCGGCAAAGTCGGACGACCGCCCCGCCCTGCGCGACCTTCAGCTCGACCTCGACACACCGGTGGAGATCCTGCTAGACTTGGAGCCGTTCGACGAAGTCGTTGCGCCGTGAGCCGCGTCAGCTGAATCGCGAACCTGTCCGATCGCGTCCGCGCAAGTACGACATGCCGGCGTAGAGGCCGAGAGCAAGAACGATGCCAAAGCCGAAGAGGCCGCGGGTGTTGGAGCGCGACTGCCTGGCGGCAACGGCGGCGGCGCGGGCGGCGTGCTCGGAGCGCGCGATGTCGCGGCCGACATCGCGCTGGAGGAAGCCCGGCTTTGAGGTTGTAAACTGGGCTTCTGCCGAGCCACCATATCCGCGGGCCATCTCTGCCGCCATGCCTGCCGCCGAGACGCCGTGCTGCATAGCTGCGGGCGCCTGCGGCCCGCCGTCGTCAGCCAACCCCGCCCGGTGGGCTTTGACCACCTCGTACGCTTCCTTGACGGCCCCAAACGCACCAGCCCCGCCATGCCCACCAACCGGCCCGGCACCTTGCGCGTCAGGATGGGTCTTCTTGGCCAGCCTCAGGTATCTACGCCCTCCATCGGTGAGTGGCCCGTGTGAGCGGCATGGCACCACCTCCCCCTCCCCTCCCCCTCCCCTCCCCCCCCCGGCCCTGTTTCCCACCAGACATGGCGTACGCTGAGCGGATGTCTGCATCTGTCGAACTGCTCCGCATGCCCAGCAGCTTGTATGCCTTGTGCACATCCATGGTCCACCTCCCTGAAACAACCCGTCGTTGCGGACTTCGATGAGGTCTCGAAGCAGAGGAGGGTGAGCTAGTGAGCGAGTGGGGGAGGATCGAACGAATGGCCGAATGAATGGCCGAATGGCCGCACGAACAAACAGCCGAGCAAACAGCCGAGCAACGAACGAACAAACGGCCGAGCGGACGGCCGAGCGGACGGCCGAACGGACGGCCGAACAAACAAGGGCAGGCAGAGCCAAAACCCATCAATCGAACGAAACGAACAATTATTTGATGTCCGCCGCCCTTCCCTCTCTCCTCCCCTCCCCCCCCCCACGCCACGCCACCGACGAATACCCCACCTCACCCTCTCTCTTCCACCCCCCCTCACCCCCCCCCCCCCCCCCCCCCCCACCAATCCCCCATCAACACTCAAATATGTTCCGCATGGCAATGCGCTCGCTTGCACCGGCCCTCCCTGCTGTGGTGCGTGGTAGCCCCGCCCTCGCCCACCGCTGGCTGTGGCGGGCGGCCGTTGTGCAGGCACCGGCGGCTAGTGCGGCAGCCAAGGCGGCTGTTGACTTGGTGCTGGACGGCTCGCCGGGCGCTCCGCCTGCAGCACGTATGGTTGTGCCGCTCTCGTCTGGCCCAGTCTCTTTCCATCTCGGTGCAGGCGACACGGTGGCGTCGCTGGTCGACTCGCTCGTGGCCAACGACCCGAGCCTCTCCGTCGACGACGTTGTCCTCCGCTCGCCGTCGGGCGTCGCCCTTGCTGGCTCCACGCCCTGGGCCTCGGTCCTCCGCGAGTCGTCGGTCGCTGCTGGAGCCCCGCTCCAGCTCGAGCTCAGCGGTGAGGTCCACTCGCTCGTGCCGTCGTACGACGGAACCAAGGCCCGGCTCGGCGGCTCGCTCGACATCACTCAGCTGCTGAAGAAGGAGGACTTTGCCGCCGTGGCCAAGGCCCTCCGTCGCGACACCCGCTCCGCCATGCCCAAGCAGGAGTTTGTCGAACTGTGCGAAAAGTACGAGATCGACGAGCTCGAGGCCGAGTTCCTCGCCCGCTCGCTGGCTGGCTGCGGCTCCATCCTCTACTTTTACGACGAGCCGAACCTCGCCTCGACTCTTTTCATTAAGCCGAGGCGGGTCTTCAAGCAGCTCCATCGGACGCTCAACGTCATGACTCCGAACGAGATTGCCGCCGCAAACCCCAAGACCGAGCTCCTGGCCTCGATGGAGGCCGAGATCGAGCCGCTGACCGAGATTAAGTCCACCATCGAGTCCAAGTCTGCAGCCTCGGCCTCGCGCATGATGTTTCTTGGCTTTGCCGGCGTTGTTGCCCAACTTGGCATCATCACCCGCCTCACTTGGTGGGAGTTCTCCTGGGACATCATGGAGCCGGTCTCGTACGTCGTCATGATCGGCCAGGCCGTCCTCCTCTACGGCTTTTACAACGTCACCTCGGCCGACCCGGACTCGTACGAGGGCCTGCGCGGCTACTTTTACGACCGCAAGTACAAGGCACTCTGCCGCAAGCTCGACTTTGACCCCGACCACTACGACTCGCTCGTCGCCGCGTACGAGCGTCTGCAGTACGGCTCACCGCGGACCCGCGCCGAGGAGAAGGCCCGCGAGATGGCCGAAGACGTCGCCCGCCGCCTCCTTGCCGAGAACGGCATTGCCAGCGACTTTGACCACGACGTTGCCGACGAGCCCAAGCCGACTCCTGCCGCATAAAATACCCAACCCCGCCTCGCTCTCGCTCTGCTTTACCGCCCCGCCGACCGCCGCGAGTTGAGCCACCCATTGTCCGAGCTCTCGGCCGCAATCCGCGACTGCGACTTGAGCCGCTGCAGCTCGAGGCCGAGATTGTAGAACGCAGTGGTGATGAGCTGGTTCTCGCGGGCAAACACCACCTTGCTCTCGTGGAACTGCGTCTTGTAGAACGTGACCTCCTTGGTCTTGTCCGCCAGCTGCGCCTGCAGCGAGGCGACCGTGGTCTGCAGCGCGGCCGCGGCCTCCGACCCAAGCGCCCCGGCCCCGGAAACAGCTGCGGTCTGGGCGTCGCGGACCACGCCCTGTAGCTGCTCGACTTGCGCCGCCGACGCTGTCAGCTTGTCTTGCAGCGCCTCGTTACGCACGTCCGCCGCCGCAAGCTCCGCCTTGGCGCCAGCAATCTCCAGCTCGAGCGCGTGGGCCTTCTGTGTCAGCGCCGTCACCTGATCCCGCAGCATCGCGGCCTCCTGCGACGAGCCGGCCGACGCCGACGTGGTGTGCTCGAGGAGCTCGATCTTGCCCTGCAGCGTGGCGTTGGCTGCTGCCAGCTCGGCAAGCTCGGCGTCCTTGGCCGCCACCTTTTCCTTGGCCGCCACCATCTCCTCGGTCACCGCCGACTTGGCCTTGTGAACCTCGTTGAGGTCGGCGCCGAGGCTCTTGACCTCGGCCGTCGCCTCGGCCGCGCTCGCCTCGGCCGCCGCCAGCGATTCCTGCAGCTCGCTGACTTGGCCCTCCAGCCGCGCCACATCGGCCTCGGCGGCCTCAAGCTCGGTCTTGTAGTCGTCCAGCTGCGCCGCCGCCGCCGACCGCTCCATGGCCAGCGCGGCCTCCATCTCTTCGCGCGCCTGGGCCTGCAGCTTCTCCAGCGCCTCAGCAGAGTCGGCACCGACCAACGAGAGCTTCGACTCGAGCGAGACGTTCTCCTGTTGGACCCGCTCCAGCGCCTCCTTGGTCGTCGCCAGCTCGCGCCGGAGCTCGGCGGCGTCCTTGGTCGCGGTCGCCAGCTCGGCCTCGCGCGACTCGAGCGCCCGCTCGGCCTTGGCCAGCGACTCGAGCGCCATCCGCGCCTTACCAGCCTCGAGCTCAGAGCCCAGCGAGGCCGACGACGACGCCGCGAGCTTGCCCTCGAGCTCCTCGATGGTGTCTTCGTGGGCATGGATCGTCTTGGTCGCCACAGTCAGCTGCTCCTGAAGCGAGTCACGTGAGAGCTGCACCCGCTCGAGAACCTCCTGCACCGACGCCAGCGCCGAGCTGCTGTCACCGCTGCTCCCGCCCGCCGCTGCCGCCTTGAGCATCCGGTTCTCCTCCTCGGCCTTGCGCAGCTTGTTCTGCAGGTCAGCCGTGAAAAGGTCCGACGAGACGCCCGCGCTGACCAGCTCGCCGTCGCCGTCACCGTCGCCAACCGCGCTTCCGCCCGCTACCACCTGGGCTCGCAGCAGCTCGTTGGCCTGCGCCGCCTCCTTCACCGCCTCCTTGGCTTTGGCAAGCTTGGCCTCCAGCCGCTCATTCTCGAGCTCGAGCGCGTGGACACGCGCCTCGCCGGCAGTCACCTGCTCGCGATAGTCGGCAATCTGCGACTCGAGGTGAGTCGCCCGCGCCGCCCGCGCATTGGCCTCACCCAGCTTCTCCACGTTGCGGTCGTTCTCCTGTTGCATATCCGCCATCTGCTTCTTGAGATCGCCCAGCGCCGTGATTCGCTCCTTGTACTTGGCCAGCTGCCGCTCAAGCTTGTCAGCCTTAAGCGAGCTCGACCGCAGCGCGTCGGACTCGTCCTTCAGCTCGTGGTACGCCTCCTCGATCTCACGAAGGCTTGCCACCTTGGCCTTGAGCGCCTCGACTTCGGCGCTCTTCTCGCGCGCAACGGCCTCGGCCTTGTCAGCCTTCTCGTCTGCCGCCAGAATCTGCGCCTGCGCCCGCGCCGCCTCAGCCTTGAGCGACTCTTGCGCGGCCGTGCTCGTCGACTTGACCTGCGCCTGGAGGCCCTCGATTGTGGCCTGAAGCGATGCCGCCTGCTCCGTCGCACGCTCCTTGAACAGCGCCAGCTCTTCCGCCTCCTTCCGTGCCTGCACCGCCTTGAGCTGCGCAGACTCTGTCTCGCGGCTTGCCCGGCTGAGCGCGTCCTTGAGGTCGGCAACCTCGTTTTCGAGTGTGAACACCCGCCGCGCCTCGGCCTCGCTCACCGCGCCACCCTCAACGCCCGCTGCCGGGGCCGCTGCCGCCGGAGCCGCTGCCGCCGAGCTCGCACTGCCGCCTGCGCCCGACAGCCGCCGCGACTGCTCCAGAATCCTCTTGATGACGTTCATCAGCATGACTTGCGACTCTTTGGGCATGCCCATGATGCCGGCAATGTACGATTGCTTGTTCTCCACTTGAACGGCCAGCCCGAGGACCAGCTCCAGCAGCGCCACCGTAGCTGCTTCATCCTCGCCGCGCGCCACAGCCTCGGCTGACACCGCCTCGATGACGCCAGACATGTTGATGTTGAGCAGCTCACGGTATGCCACGTCCAGCGTCGCCAGCAGCTTGCGCACATTGCCTTCAGCCATTACCCAGTTGCTCTCGTTGATGCTCGCATCCACTGTCGTCGACGAGAAATGGCTCGGCGCAATCGTGCACAGAACCGCATTGATCACCACACCCGCCGCCAGCTCTTGCACCCCCTCGACCGGGTTCGGCAGCGGGAACGTGTTGAGCTACCCCCCCTCGCCATGCGACCCGTCCACCCAGCCCGCCCAGCCCCCCCCCCAGCCCGCAATCCAGGGGTGGTTTAACCCCAAAAACGGGGGAAGTACAGGGGGGTCACACCCGCCGACGTCACTTCGCCTCGACCCCCCCCCCCCCCCCCCTTCCACACCCCCTCACATACATGCATAGAGCCCAACTCCCATAGTTATGCAAGACACAGACCCGCTTGGCTATCCTTCCTCCCTTCATAGACGTACCCAGTTGATGAGCGCATCGGCTTCAGACATGGCTGCGTTTCACCCGAGTCACGTGTGGCTGTGGCTGGAGGGGTGGCCGGGTGGCAGTGTGGCTGGTGGCCTGAGGCGCACCGGCCTGGTGAGGCTCTCGACGGGATTTACGATATCGCAGTCTCGTGTCGAGCTTACGGAGTGGTATTGGTGAGATGGACAAACACGTCCTCCAACGACGTGTGCTGGACGGACCAATCGACAACAAGGTTGTCGTCTACGCCCTCGAGAGTGTCGAACAGCTGCGCAAGTTCGGCAGGCGCCACGTTGCGCGGGAGGGCAAAGATGAGCTCGGTGCCGTCGGCCGAGGCCAGTCGGGCAGCAGGTAGCTGGGTCGTCACATGGGTCACAATAGCGCCAAGGGTCGCGGTCGACCCGTCGCAGGCTTCTAGGACCAGATTGTAGCCAGCCGAGTACTTGGCCTTGAGGTGGGCCGAAGAACCGATGCAGGTGAGGCCGCCGTCGACGAGGATGCCGATCTTATCGCCGAGCATGTCGGCCTCCTCCATGGAGTGTGTGGCAAGGACCATGACCCGGCCCGCCTTATGCTTCTGGAGCAGGGCCCACACCGCGCGGCGCGACATGGCGTCGAGGCCGACGGTCGGCTCGTCGAGGACCACCACACGCGGCGAGCCGACGAGCGCGACTGCGAGCGAGGCCTTGCGCCGCGTTCCACCAGAGAGGGTGACAAGCGGCTTGTCGGCCTCACCGGTCAGCCGCAGCTGATCGAGGATCGACGCCACGTCGCGCTCAAGCTGTGCGCCGGTCCCCCCCTTGATGGCGCCAAAGAGGGCGACAACCTCGCGCGAGCTCAGTTGCGGCCAGAGCGAGTCGGTTTGCGGACAGAATCCGAGGAGCGCACGGATGTGGTGGGTGTTTCGCGAGAGCGCGTGGCCATATACCTCGGCATCACCCGACGACGGCGTCGCCATGCCGGTCAGCACGTTGAGAAGCGTAGTTTTGCCGGCGCCGTTCTTGCCGAGCATGCAGAGCATGGTGCCCTCCTCGACGCCAAACGAAACGTCGCGCAGCGCTGCCTTTGGCCCGTAGCTCTTGCACATCTTGTAGACTTTGAATGGGAGAACAGGCTCGCCGGTGGCCGGCCCCATTCCGCCATGGTCGAGGACCAGCAGCGATGAGACCTCGGCTTCGAGGTCCGGATCCGGCCCGGTGCCCTCGCCGCCCGACGTGGCGTCGCCCGAGCTTGGGCGCGGCGACGACGACTTGGCCGGCGAGGTGGCGGCGTACATGCCGAGCACCTTGGCCTCTGGCACGGTCTCGGGCGGCGGCGGGAGGTAGTACGACGGTCGGCAGCAGAAGAGAGCATCGCGGAGTCGGATCCACGAGTCGACAAACCAGGTGAAGAGACAGAGGCCAACCGCCATTGCCGCCAGGACTCCCAACGAGAGCGACGGCGCCCACACATTGAGACCGACCGACGGTCCGTACTGCGGTGCCTGCGAGACGTCGCGCCACGCAAAGCTCGGCGTCGCGTCGCGATCGGTCGCATACTGCGCAGAGCAGCCAGAGTTGATGTCGGTCCCGATCTTGACCAGCTGGAACGGCGGAAAGAAGAGCAGAGCCCAGAGCGCGGGCGAGCCCGAGCCGGCCCACAGCATGTACAGGTCAATTGAGCAGAGGAGCTGGACAAGAACAAGGCCCGAAATGGAGAGCGCCACCGCGAGGCCGACTGCCACCGCCACCGAGCTGACCAGGACCGAGAGCGCCGCGCCGAGCGCGACCATGACGGTGAAAACTCGGCCGCAACCACAAACATGAGGCCCGGGCCGGAGCAGGTAAAGAGCCGAAAGCCGGCAAGCTGGCCGGTTCCAGCCACCACGCCAGCCGCGGTCACGGCGCCGGCTTCGAACACCAGCCCCCAGGTGAGCCAGTAGACCCAGTTGTGCAGGCCGTGGATGTACATCATCGCTCGCGATCCGCTCGCCTTTTCACCGACAAGCACGACCAAGACCACCGAGGCCACAAGCGCCCCGGCCAGGTAAATGCCGCACATGAGGGCTAGAAAGACCGACGCCGCAGTCTCGTCGCGGCTGGGCGGGACCGTCAGCGGCCGCACGCTCAGCTCCAGCGCGAGCCGCCCATCCGCAGACATCGGCCTCCCGAGCATGTTGGCGCTTGCTGCGCTTACATTGAGCGCTGCTGCCATGACCGCTGCCATGGCCTGGACCCGCATCCGCGGCACCGTACCTGCGCACCGCACATCGACCAGTCCGCTTGCTGCAAAGCACCCAGCAGCCTCGCTCTCCAGCGACGCGTTGTACCACACCACATACTGTAGATCTGGGAGGGCCTCGGGCACAAACTCGATGGCCAGCGAAGTAGTGTTGGGATTTCCGAGCACAAAGCTCTCCATCTCGCCGCGTGTCTCAAAGGCGCGGACAGTGCTCGCCGGCAGCGCGCTCGCCCGAGCAATCTCTTCGGCGAGTGCAACAAAGACAGGATGCTTACCAGGCGTATACGCCAGTGAGAGGCAGCTTGGCTGCGGAGTACAGAGCGGGATGGGGCCAAGATCAAACGCGTCGCGACTTCCCGATGGCGCCGCTCCCTCTGACGACGACCCAATCGACTGAGCCACGGCCACCACCAGGACACACACCAGCGGCACCAGCACCGTCGTCGCCACAGCAGCCTTCCATGACTTTGACTATCCCATCCCCTCCCCATATCAACCCAGGCAGCGCTCTGTGAGTCCCATCCTGTTGCTCTCGAGCAGTTGCGTGGCCACAGGCCGGGTGCGGTGCGCAGGAGGATCATGCCCGTCAGCCTCTCGCGCCCATGCCCTTCCAACCCCGCCACCGTGCACGTACCATAAGTCGTAGGTTCTTCCACAAGTGGGCCTGAAACTGGACCCAGCCCACGCCCATCCTTCAGCGGATGGCTCGTGAGAAGTGGTGGCAGGCGTGGGCGTGTAGTACTCGTCCGTGACCTTGTCCTCGTTCCGTGGTGGCGGGGTTGAGTCACACGGTTGGCAGAGGTGCGCGCACGTGACCGGATTTTTGCCTCGTGGCGGCTGTCAAAGATGAGAGGAGGCGGGGGGGGGGGGGGGGGCTCTGCGGCTCAAGCTGGCCACAGCTGATGTTGGTGGTTGATGCCAGGTTTGATACCAGCGAGTACCTCTTGCATTGTACTGCGGTCTATCACCTATGTCCACGGCTGTAATCAAAGGTTGGGACGGTGGCTACGCCTCGATCTCACCAGAGAGGAACTTTCCGGCAAGGTCGACCGACTCGGTGGTGCCGATGTAGAGCGGCGAGCGCATGTGTGGGCCGGTGGGGATAATGTCGAGGATGTCGACCTCACCATCGGTGGCACGGCCGCCGGCCTCTTCGGAGAGGAGGGCCAGCGGAGCGCACTCGTACATGACGCGGAGCTTGCCGCGGGCGTTCTTGGAGTCGGCCGGGTACATGTAGAGGCCACCGTAGATGAGGTTGCGATGAAAGTCGGCCACAAACGAGCCGATGTAGCGGGCAGAGATGGGGCGGTTGGTCTCCTTGTCGACGGCCTTGCAGTAGTCGACAAAGTTTTTGACACCCGAGTCCCACTTGGCGTAGTTGCCCTCGTTGACAGAGTAGTGCTTGAACTTGTCGGGGTAGGTCATGAACTCGCGCGAGAGCACAAACTCGCCAAGCGCCGGATCGAGGGTAAACTCGTGGACGCCCGAGCCAGCGCCGACGGTGAGGACAAAGACGACCGACGAGCCGTAGAGCACGTAGCCCGAGGCAATCATGTCACGCCCGCGCTGCAGGCAGTCGACATCCGGGTCACACGCCGTCCCGCGCTCGGTCTTGCGCTCCCAGATGCCAAAGATGGTGCCGACGCCCACGTTGACGTCGACGTTCGACGAGCCGTCGAGCGGATCGGTGGCCACCACAAACTTGGCAGTCTTGGACTCGGGGTCGGCAAAGGTGAGTGCCTCCTCCTCCTCGGAGATGTACGCCAGAACGTACTTGGTCGACATCAGCCGCTGCTTCATCAGATAGTTGGACTGCACATCGAGCTTGGCCTGCACGTCACCGGTCGAGTTCTCAGCCTCGACCTTGCCGAGGATGTCGGCAATGCCGGCACGCTTGATCTTGGACGCAATGAGCTTGCATGCCACCGCGATCTCCATCAGCACCACAGACAGCGCTCCCGTCGCGTTGGGCACACGCCGCTCCATCGCCGCAATGAACTGGTTGACTGTATATCATTGTGTGAGTCAACCGACAATAACACCCCCCCCCTTCCCCCTTCCCCCCACCCTACCGTCCCTGCCCTCCCTCTTGCCCCGGCACCTCGCTCACCCGCTAACACCAACGATCCCATCCCTCCCGCTCTCTCCGCTCTCCCCTCCCCCTCCCCCCTCCCCTCCCTCCCCCCCTTCTGAACAACATACTGGTGGTACCCACCCGGAAGTCGGTGACAAGCTCTTCAATGTTGGCAGCCATGTTGTGGTATGAAATGAGTATGGGAGTGAGGTGGCCCCGGGAGAGGCAAGTCAAGACCAGGGTGTAGGCCACCTTTGGGTATTCGGTTTGGTGGCTGTTGGCATGCCACGTTGTTGGCACACCAAGGGAACAATGGTGTTGGGTGTGTGGACTGTGGTCCGCACCCCCCCCCCCCACACCCCCCCCACCACACCCTCACACACACACACACCCTCACACACCCACCCTCACACACTTCTTTCCCTTTCTACTCCCCCCCCCCCCATCATCTGGCTGTAATGGCAGTACTGGTGGCCACGCATGTCCTGAATGCTACACATGCCCCATCAGTCCTCGTCCTAGCCCTCCTCCTCTTGTCCCACTGCCTGCTCACTCTCGGCCACTGGTGCGCTGGTACGCACATCGCCCGTACTCCCCCTACCCCCCTACCCCCCCCTACCCCTACCCCAACTCACTCTGATGCTGACGCAACAATCATCTATGGCAGGCGAGACAATGGCGAGCAAGCAGACCCATGCCTTTGTCATCCGATCACTGGTGAACACGTTTGGCGTGGTGGTCTCGGGCACGGTGGCGCTGCTCACCTTTGATCCGTTTCTTGTTCTCCCACTTCTTGTCCTCATTGTGGGAGTGATGCTTGTGTTTGAGCTGGCGGCGCTGTGGCCATCGTCGCCAGTGGCCACCCTTGCTGCCGAGCAGCCACACTATTACGCTACCTGGCGCATGCAATGGTTGCCGTGGCGGATGGCCGAGTACTCGGGCCTCTTCCTCTCACTCTTTACTCTGCAGCGCATCCTCGAGGCCGTGCTGGTTGTAGTTGCCGGCGCCGGCTGCATCATGCTCGCTTTGTCAGCAACGACCGCCGATCTGCCCGATGTGCGAAACAGGGTGAGTGACGAGCCGACCATGGCCTGGCCGCTGCTGGTCGTCGTGGTCCTCGTCGCGAGCCACATGGTGTTCGGCATGGCGTGGTGGATCATTGATCCGACAAGCGACGCCCCGCAGTCTGGCTTTTACGCCCTTCGCTCTGCCCGCTCGCTCCTGCTTGCGGTCCCGGCCGTCCTCGGCATCACGGTTGGTGCCGGCGAGTACTATGGGTTGGTCGCTGCTTTGGCCTTTGGCCTCCCGTGGCTTGCTCGTGAACTGCACGCGGTGGTATGGGCTCGATCGGCGAGCGCCAACGCCCGCGATGTGGTCCGCACCCGCTACGCACCCGAGCTTGCGCAGCCGCTGCCTGCCGTTCGATGGGGTTCCCGCTACCTTGTGGCACAGACCCACGACGACGAGAGCGACTCGTACGAGACCGCCACACTCACTGTCAACGAGTACTCGGGCTCGTCAAGCTCGAACTCGCTCTCGATCTCGGTGTCGCCAACCAAGTTTGAGGCCCTAGCCACGCCGCTCAACCGCCGCGCTGCCATGTTGGCCGCCCGCCTCGAGACAACTACTCGGACGTATGCGGTTGTGGACTCGCTTGTGGACGCCGGCTACATCGCGAGGGACGAAACTGATGACGAGCTTGATGCGCGGTTTGCGCTGTCATCGCTTCCGTCTCCGACGGGCTCGGGCGCATCCTGCTCGTCAGTGTCGACACTGAGCGGTTCAGAGCAGCACGCTGAGCCGTCCGACCGTGGCCGAGACACCCACGCGCCGACCCATCGTGGCCTGGCGTTCTGGAGTCGATGGCAGAGCCGAGGCCAGCAAGTGCTTGGTGTCGCGGTCCATGTTGCCACGCTTGCCGTCGCGGTTGGGCTTGGCGCCACCGGAGTTCTCCTTCTGCAGAGCAGCGACCGCCCGGGCGTCCTCAAGCAGGCGTATGCAGGGGCGCCGATGGTTGCGGTTGCGGTTCTCCTCCTCCTCATTCAGGGCGTGCTGGCTTGCTGGCGGAGCCGAGCTCGATTTGTGGTCTCGGCGCCGCTTCGGTTTGTGCTCTTGCGCATGTCAGCTATTCCACTCTTGGCGCCGTGGTCGCTAGCCGCTGTTGCGCTGGCAGGTCACCCGCTGGCGGCCGCGATCCTGGCGTCGCTGATGGCAGTGACGCTCTGCGGCTTTGAGCTCACTGCGTGGCTCCCGCTCTCGCCGCTCCCAGCCAAGCTGTCGTACACGCGGCTGCGCCAGCTCGGGCGTCGGATCCGCCTCCCGACGCTGCCGTGGGAGACTGCGCTGTGGGGTGTGTGGCCCGTCGTTACGCATGCAGCGTTTGTCACGGCTGGCATCGGGACACTGGCAACTGCGGTTGTTGCTGCGCTTGACGCCACGCTCTCGGACAAGACCGGGCGCGACCGCGAGACGCGTAACTTTGACGACACTTTGTGGATGTGGCTGGCCCCGATGGGCGTTGTTGGCTATCTGACCGCCTTTACTCTCCATAGTCGCTCGTGCGACGCTGCCGAGTCGGCTGCGCAGCCGAGGCGGTTTGCCAAGTACGAGGCGGTGGTGCGGAAGCGCAAAGCGCGGTCGGTCGCTCTGTTTAGGCGTAGCATGACCGCACTGTCCGATCCGACGGTGCTGGAGGCTCCAGGCCGGCACTTGCTGTCATCGTCGCAGTCGTCATCGTCGGCATCGCCATCGTCGTCCGAGTACGAGAGCGACTCGTCCGAGGAGTGGGCGGCTCGTGACGGGCGGGACACAGAGATGGCACTCGATGCCGGTGCACTGCCGTCGTTCCGGTCGTCCGATACGGACTCTGACCACGAGTCGACGGTGGTCGATTTGGCAGAGCGAGTGCGCGAGCGGCGGCTGGCCGGGGTGGCGTACCCATCACCGGCGCAGCGGTCGGGCCGCAAGGGACCGCCGGCCGACGTGGCGCTGCTCTTGCTCGGGGTGGTTTTTCTGGTATCAATGTCTGGTTCCTGTTTGGCCTGCTGGGGCTGATGGGTGCAGTGGAGAACTCGCCGCTGGCGGACAACATGGTGCTGGAACACGTGGTGCTGGCGACAAGCTTTGCGCTGGGCGCCATGGGTGTTCTACTTGGCGCCGTCATGCTGGTGGTGGCGGCGGCAAGCAGCGAAGCAGCGCCAAGCATGGTGCTGCGCGGTCTGGCGACCGGGCTCACCGGTCTGGGACTTGTGGCGGCTTTGGCGGCGCTCCGTATCCGCAACAAGGCCGAGTTTCAGCGAAAGTTTGGGCCGAGCGAGCTGGTCCACATTCCGGTGAGCAACGGGCTGCTTGAGGACTCCAAGGTGGTGGTCTGCGCGGCGGTGGCCGGTGTGTACCGGACAGCGCTGAGCAATCTGCTTGCGAGCGCGGCCGGGCATGCGGCGCGTGATTGGAAGCACGCGCTACGAATTCGGCTGCGGATGCTGCCGTCGTGTGTGCTGGTGGCTGGGATGACGTCTGCGCTTGTGGTGGTCCCTGTCTGGCTCCACTGGCTCATTGAGCAGCACGATACCGGGCGAGGCGTCTTTGGGCTCACGGCGTGGCGCGGCGTCGGGTACAGCTTGGTGGTGACGGGCGGACTCGGCGGATGCATTGTGCACCTTATTGCCATCTCACTATACGGGTATGGGCCGCTGGTGGCCGCCTTTGTCTCGACGTCGACATCGCTGGCTGAGGTACGGTACCTTGCGCTGAGTGCCTTGCTCATTGCTGGATGGCAGGTGGCGATGACTGGAGCCGCATGGCGGTCGCTGGAGAGCGTGAACTTGCACGAAGCCGCACCGTGGCTGAGCGTGGTCCTGTGGGCTATTGTGGGCGTGTGTGGATGTCTGAGCGGGACGCGCGCGTTTGCGCTGCTGCAGTTTGCAGACCGGCGGAAGCGGCTGTTCCAGGTGGCGTCTGCTCAAGGGTACATCAACAACGACTTTGCTGTGGTATTCTATAACGGCGGCGAGGCATCTTCACGAACCAAGATCAGCAACGTGCTGCTCGCGGACGAGTCGCGGGTTCACTACTCGGCGCCGTCGCAAAGTGTGGCGGGCAACCAGGACGTGGTCTTTGAGCACTGCGGGTACAAAACCAACGGGTTTGTGCTGGAGAAGCTTGTAGTGCGGGTGCCCAAGGTGGCGGCGTATCCGTTGCGGTACGGCATGGTCTGGGTTCACGACGAGCTCGATGCGGCCAAGCTCGCGAGCTACACGCGCAAGTACGATTCGATGACGCTCGACGAGTTCTGCAGGCTCAAGCGGCGTGGGGTGTCGACCGAGCCGATCCTGTTCTTTGAAGTGGGCAACGGGTCGAGCGAAGTCATCGACATTGGCATGCCCGCGGCAGGCAAGTACGTCCACATCAAGTTTCTTGGCTCGCGAGTGGGGACGATTGCGCCGACGACCGAGCTGTTGAGCGGGCGAAAGCAGGCCAAGGCCAAGGCCAAGGCGCTGGTCAAGGCGGCGCGCAAGGCGCGGGCAGTGGTTGCGCCGCGGGTGGATGTCGAGTTCATTGGCCTTGTTGGCTACAATAAGTATCTGTACGACGTCGAGGCGCGGCGGTGCGGATGCGGGTACGCGCTGCGGTAAGACCTACCACGCGCGGAGCGACGAGTTGTTGCGGCGGGTGAGCCAGCGGTCGAGCTCCTCCCAGAACGCGTTGGCAATGGCGCGGTCGCGGTGGCGGACCACCTTGGAGATGCGCATGACATGGACGTTCCACTTCTTGACGTTGGCCGGAATGGACTCGTCGTCAAACTGCAGGTGGAAGCCGCGGACATGGGCGAGAATGTCGACGGGGTCGTTCCACGGCCAGCCCTTAAACTGCCACTTGGGACCTGCGACAAAGACGGCGACAACGCGGGTCCACTCGTCGCTGGTCAGCTTGTTGGGGTCGTCCTCGACGCGGTACGGCACACGCTCGTCGCCGCGCTGGCGGACGACAACGGTTTTGGGGTTGCGGCGGCCGCCGGCGGCGCGCTTCTCTTCGGCGGTCACAAACGAGTGACGCTCCAGAAAGTCGCGAACGTTGTACAGGTTAATGAGCGTCGACGCGCCTCCAGGAACAAGGATGATAGGCTTTCCCTTGGGTGCGTGCTTGGGGAGGGCGGCGGACGAATTGGAGCGCGAGGCCGGCTTGGGCGCCGACGGCGCGGCGGGCGCCGGTGCCGGCGCCGAGCCAAAGCCAGGCAGGTACGACGCCGACGTGTTGATGCCAAAGTCGCCGGCAGCAATGCCGGCGGCCTCGAGCGCCTTCTTCTCGTCGACGTTGTACCGCGAGTAACCGGCGTCCTTCTCGGCCTTGGCGGCTTCGGCGGCTGCCTTCTCGGCGTTGAGCGTGTCGTCAAGAACCTTAAGCACCCGTGAGAATGGGAGGCCCGAGGCGCACTGCAGGACCGACTTGCGGGTGTGCATGTGGCGCTCCTTGCGCTGGACAAGCCGCAGCACCTCGTCGTCGCTCATGCCAGCCACCATGTCGGCATGCAGGTCGCTCGAAGCCCGGTCGCCCACGCCGCTCGCGCCAGCCAGCGTCTTCTGGCGCTTGGCCGGCGTGCCCTCTGAGGCGGCGTCGTTACCACCAGGGCCGGCACTTGCGAGCCCAGTCGTGGCGCCTCCGGCCACCATGTCCGAGTGCGAGCGCTTGGCTGGTGCTGGCTCGGCGGCCGGGGCGGCAGTGGCGGCATCAGTGGCAGGTGCACCCCCCGCCAGCGAGAGCGGCACCACGTCGCCAGCCGGGTCAATACCGTCCGCAAAGAGCATGGCGCGGACGTGCTTGGCCTGCAGAAAGTCGAGGAGACCGTCCTGGGCGAGGCCGCGCTTGGCGGTGACAGCGTAAAAGTCGCTGGTCACCGACGACGACGACGACTCGGAGCCGAGCTCGGAAGCCAGAATCCAGAACTGAATGAGCGGAAAGGCAACCGACTTGGTCTTGTACACCATGCCCACGGGCGTGTCGTACGCCGCCGTGTGCGACGGGCCGTCTTTTGGCGAGAACTCCAGCTCGCGGGCCTCGCGCTTGTCGTCCACCGCCACCCGCCCATGGGTGTACTCGTGCAGCAGCACCAGGTAGTCGGGCTCCTGGCTCATATGTGGTGTGTGTGGTGGGGGGGGGAAGAGTGGGGGAGGTGGGAAGTGGGGGGGGGGTGGGGTGGGGTGGAAGGTTGGGGTGGGGTGGGGTGGGTTTCGGTATGGTAGTGGGCTGGAGCGGGGAGGGAGGGAAAGGAGGGGCGGGATCGGAGGCGACTCGGACAACTCGACAGTCGGCGGTCGGTGGTCGGCGGTCGGTGGTCGGCGGTCGGTGGTCGGCGGTCGGTGGTGGAGTGGCCGTCGAGCGAGGTGTCGAAAAAGCCACCAAACAAACACGTCAGCTCCCTCTCCTCCCTCGCTCCAAGCGCCCCCCCCCCTCCCCCCCTTCCTCCCCTTCACGCCCTTACACTCCACTCTCTCATCCCACTACGGGCACACACACCCCTCCTCCTCCTAGCCTGCAGTGGAAAAGCTCAGTATGGACAAGGTGTGGATCAAGGTGGTGAGAGCCACCTCGCTCAAGGCCGCCGACAGCAACGGGCTGTCCGACCCGTATGTGGTGGTCCGCCTCGGCGAGGCAAAGTACAAGACGGAGAAGATCGAAGACACGCTCAACCCGGTCTGGGTTGAGGCAGACACAGAGTTTAGCATCGACCGCTCTCTGCTGGATGATGACTCTGCCGTGGTCTTCTACGTCTTTGACTGGGTACGCCAGCCAAGCACCCCCCCCCCCCTCCTCCTCCTCCCCCCACCACCACAGCTACCTCACCGCACCCCCCCCCCCACCCCCCCCTTCTCCCCCTGTATGTACAGAACAAGTTCAAATCGAAGCAATCGTTGGGCACTGCCCGGGTCAAGCTCATCGATCTTCCGCCAAACGAGACGGTCGAGCTGGCCCTCCCTCTCCGCGACGGTGACGATGGCGTGCTCTACGTCAACGCGCGGTACGAGCGAACGCTCATCAATGACGGCTCGGTTGCACCGGGCGAGAGCGTTGCAGTCGAGGGCTCGGCTGGGCACATTGTGCACGTTCCGCGGCTGAGCAACGAGGCCAGGTCCGGGGTCGAGGGCGGTGCTGATGAGCGGCCGCTGGCCGCCGGCCTCCGTGACCAGTACCTCAGCGAAGAGGGCCAGCGGGCCAACTTTCACGCCACCGACCCGAACGATGCTGCGGCGTATGCGGCGGAGATTACTGGGCCGGCGGATCCGTTTTCGACCGGCAACCTGGTGATCAAGCTCGAAGAGCTGATCGACATTGACCTGCCGGGCCATCCGCGGATCAAGGCGGTGCTGGCAGTTGGCGAGTCCGAGGCGACGTCTCACACCCACCGTGTGCGGCACGGCAAGATTGCGTGGGACAACGAGCAGTTTACCTTTGCTGCCGTCAAAGCCACTGATGTGGTCCATCTCTCGGTGGTGTACAAGGACCCTCGCCGCGAGGTCTCGCATGATCTGCTGGGCGCAACGGCCTTTCCAGTCTCAGCGCTCCTCAACGCGGCGGGCGGCACGCTTCGAGCAGCTCTTCGCGGCAAAGAGGCTACGCTCTCCCCGCCCGGCCGGGTGGTGCTGACGGGTGGGTGGCAGGTTGCGGCGGCGGCGCGTGCGGCGGTTGTTGAGACGTCGGACGATGCGGCGCTGGCTACCTACGCGCTTCCGATCTCGCACCTGCGGTGCATGCTGTACCAAGGCCGCAATCTTGCGGCGCACGACCGATCTGGCACGTCAGACCCATTTGTCAAGGTCACGCTTGTCACCACGAGCGACGGGCTCCCGGTCTGTCGGCCCGGCTCGTTCGAGCCGATCTCAGCCACCTCGGTGACCCGCAAGGCAACGCTGTTCCCGGTGTGGACCCAGGGGCTAGATCTCGAGCTTCCGCCGCCGTACGCGACAAATGTCGAGGCCCGCAAGACGCTCGCGCTCCACTGCGAGGTCTGGGACTGGGACCGGGTCGGAAGCAACGATCTCATGGGTCGCGTCGTTGTCCCGCTCGACGCGCTGGAGGACTTTCTCGCCGCGCCGGTTGACGAGCCGTCGGCCGACGACGAAGAGTACAAGACCTGGTACCCACTGTTTTTTGCTACCGACGACAAGGGCGCGGCCAAGGCGGCCAAGGCGGCCAAGGCGGCCGAGAAAAAGGCCAAGGCTCGCCGGAAGCGCAAGGATAAGGGCAAGGAGGCTGAGAGCGGCGGCGACGACCGCGGGTCCGAGAGCCGCGGTCCGTCCGCTGACAACGGGTTCTCTCAGGGCGAGCTCCTCATCGGCCTCTCGTACCGGCGGTCGACGCTCGCGCCACAAGCTCCGCACTCTGCCGCCGCGGCGGCGCTTGGCAGCGGGCATCCGGACGTGCTGCGGCTCTCAGACGGTGGCGTGATGCTCTCGCGGCAGGCTCACGAGGTCGACGAGGCCGAGGGTGGTGACAGCGATGCAGCCGCCGCGGTAGACGACGGCGACTCGTGGTTTGGGTCCGATGCTGGCGAGACAAGCGAAGACGCCGGCCGGAGCGGTGCGCTGCAGGCGACCAAGGTCCCGATTTCGTTTGAGCACAAGCTGACGGTCCGAGTCATCCAAGCGCGCAAGCTAATCAAGGCCGACCGTTTCGGCAAGTCGGATCCGTACGTCACGCTCAAACTCCGCAAGGCCGGCGAGTCGTCGCTGGTCAAGACGGCGACCAAGATGAAGACGCTGGAGCCCAAGTGGGGCGAGACGTTTGAGTTTGCGGGCTCGACCGACGCATCCAGCAAGCGGTGGCGCGAGAAGCTTGCAGTCACTGTATTTGACTGGGACCGCGGCTCCAAGGATGACCCCATTGGCGAGCTGGAGATCAAGCTCAGTTCGCTGGCCGCCAACGCGCCGGAGAGCGTCAACTGGTACAAGCTAGCGAACGTGGCGTCGGGTGAGATCCAGCTCGGGCTAACGCTTGAGAGCAAGCCGGTCTTTGCTGACATGGCGACCGGCATGGCGGTTGGGGTGACCGACGCCGGCACGGTGGCGGCCATGCACCTGCTCTCCGACGTGGGCACGGTGACGGTGACGCTCATGTCAGGCGCGGACCTCAAGGTGATGGACAAGCACTCCAAGGCAGCCGATCCGTTTGTGCGGCTCCAGCTCGGCACAAGCGTGCACACCTCACGAAAGATCAAGAAGACGGTGAACCCGACGTGGAACGAGACGTTTGTCTTTGAGCGGGTGACTCGGGTCGCACCGCTCCATCTCACGGTTCTCGACTGGAACATGATGGGATCGGCCAAGTTCATGGGCGCGGCCGAGGTCTCACTCAAGGACTTGGCTCATGAGCGGCCGCTCAAGTTCTGGCTCACGCTCCATGACGAGAGTGGGAAGCAGGACAAGGAGCTCGGTGAAGTGCAGATCAAGGTCGAGTTTACCTCGGAGACGGCGGCGGTTGGCGGGCCTGCAGTCGGCTCGCGGCTGGCCACGTTTTCGGGCGCCATGGCGTCGGCGGCCAAGTACGAGCTCTCGCTGGTGGTGGTGGAGGCGACGGATCTGGTGGGCAAAAAGTCGAACGGACTTGCCGACCCGTTTGTCATTGTGCGGCTAGGAACCAAGTCGTGGGAGTCGCCGACACTCAAGTACACCACCGAACCGCGGTGGAACGCAAAGGTCCAGCTGTTTGCGTCTGGCGAGCCGGACGAGCGGATGTATGTCACGGTGTACGATTGGAACCGCCGTGCCGCGTCCAAGGCGCTCGGCACGGCCGAGATTGCTGTCGCGCCGCTGGAGGAGGGCACCCAGGAGGACCTTTGGGTGGCGCTCAAGGGCGCGCCGCGCGGCAAGGTCCATCTCCGGATCACCAAGAACAACATTGTGGACGAGGCGGCGCGGCTGGAGACGCTGATGGAGGCCAAGGCGGCGGTGCGGGATGCGGCGTCGCCGGCCAAGGGCCGCAGCGGGCGTGAGATGCCGACCCACCACGCAGCGGGCGAGGAGACAGCGGCGGCAGCCGTTGAGGTCTCATCGCGGCTGACGGTGACGGTGCTCGAGGCGCGCGATCTGGTCTCGCTCAACCGCGGCGGCGGCTCGGACCCGTATGTCATTGTGCAGTGCGGAACGTTGCTGCAGCTGACGTCGATGCAGATGAACTCCCTCTCGCCGTCGTGGGGAGAGACCTTTGAGTTTACGGATGTCGAGGACTCGGACGCGGTGACGTTCTCGGTCTTTGACTGGGAACGGCTCTCGGCGGACCAAGCGATGGGCTCGGCGAGCGTGGCGGTGCGAACGATTCCGGTTAAGCGGCCGCTGCGGATGTGGCTGGCACTCGAGGGCGTGGCCTCGGGCGAGATCTACGTCGAGGTCTTCTACGAGTTTCTCGCCGGCGAGCTCGGTGAGTTGGCCCAGCTCCGGTCAATGCTACCCGGCGAAGAGGACGAGGCCGACGGGCTGGAGCTCGCGCCCAACTCTACCGAGCCGTCGGAGCGGCTGGTGAGCGTGCAGGTGGTGGAGGCGCGCGCGCTGGAGGCACGGCGTGCTGCGGGCTCGGCCGATCCGTACTGTGTGCTCAGCCTTGGCACGAGCGGCGATCCTGAGGCTGTGGCGGTGCGAACCCTTGTCCGGCGCAACACCTCTGCGCCGGTCTGGCACGAGGATCTCCATCTCAAGTGCCTCTCGCTCGGAGCGCCGCTCAAGCTCCAGATCCTCGACTGGAACTCGTCCGGGCCGGACATACCGCTCGGCGAGGCGAGTATCGACCTCGGCGAACTGGAAGAGTTCAAGGTCCACGACTCGTGGCACTACTTGCAGGGCGTGTCTTCGGGCGAAGTCCACCTCAAGATCCGTGTCGGTGCCCCGCAGCAGTCTGCGGCGTCGGTCCGCCTCACCCGCAACCGGACGGTGTACGTGCAGGTTCTCGAGGCATCAGGTCTTTCGCCGTCGAGCGGGCACCTCCACCCGTATGTTGTCCTCAACCTTGGGCCCAAGTCGCAGACGACTTCGACGGTCGAAGTCCGCGGCAGTGATGGTCCGCAGTGGCGCGAGGCATTCCGCTTCCGCTGCTCCGAGTACGACGTGCTGCGGCTCTCGGTTTGCAACTGGGAGATGTACTACCAGGGCGCGACGCTCGGCACGGCCTCGCTGCCTATCTCGTCGTGCGTCACCCCGGGCCTGACCTACGACATGTGGCTCGAGCTCGCTGGAGCACACGGTGGCAAGCTCCACGTCCGTGTCACCACCTCGTCGATCGACACCCTCCCGGAACTCGTGCCGGCCTCGGAGCTCGCTGGCGAGCTGCCGGCCACCGTGGCGAGCTCGCCGGTCGCCCACACTTGGTCGTTTGGCACTTCGATCGCCATCAAGCTCGGCCTCGCGCTTCTAGTCATGGCCTTTCTGGCCTTTGCGTGGTGGGCACGCGACATGACCGGCAGCGATGTGAGTGTGGGGGGGAACAAGGAGCTGTGAGCGAGAGGCTGCGTAAAATACGTCTCGATAGTAACCCCCCTGGCTGACCGGAGGGGCGGGGCAGCACCCTTCGCTCCGGATCACTCGACGCCGACTAGCAGCAGCACCCCCCCCCCCCCCCCCCCCCGAGCCTCCAGACGTGTGACAGGGAATGGTACGGCGGCTGAGCTCGCATGGCCTCGAAGCAGTCTCGCGGTATACTGGGCAGGTGGTCTCGCCTCAGTCCGGAGCCGGTCGGGTGCTGGGCAGGTGGTGGCGGTGGGTGGCGCGGCAGGTGCCGGGTAGCGTCCCACCGAACGCGCTGACGCTCCTTGGTGGACTTGCCATTCTCTGCGGCTACCTCCCATTGGCAGTCTTCCTCCCGCGGCTGCGTAACGAAGACGGGTTGGAGCCGCCGGCGTGGGCCCTGGTGGCGACGGCGGTGGCGGTGGTTGTGTACCAGACGCTCGACGCGGTGGACGGGATGCACGCGCGGGCAACCCACTCGGCGTCGGCCCTTGGCGAGCTGCTGGATCACTCGGTCGACTCGGTGGCCATGATTGTTGTCGGCCTCTCGTTTGCGGCGTGCATCCAGCTCGGTGGGAGCTGGTTGGCGCTCGGAGTTAACTTTGGCATCTACATCAAGTTCTTTATGGCGCAGTGGGAGCTGAAGAACACCGGGCGCGAGGTGGTGGGTCACGTCAACTCGAGCATGGGCCTCTCGCTGGCTGCGGCCTTCTTTGTGTGGACAGCCGTGACCGGGACCTCGTGGTGGACGGCCCCGCTCGAGCTGCCTCTTCTGCCGGAGCTCGGGCTGGCTGGCGGCTCGCTGCCGCTGCCGCTGCCGACACTGCTGTCGGCCGCGCCGGGCCTCGCCCCGCTGGTCCGCCGCCAGCACCTGGTGGCCGCCGTGGCCCTGGTGTGGTGCGCATGGGCGACGTGGTGCTCCTCCCTTCAGGTGTGGTATGCGGTGCTGGCGGCCGACGGCGCACCGCGCCGGGCGCGGCGGTGGCAGACTGCGCTTGCGCACCTGGTGCCTGCCGGCGCCGCTGTCGGCTTCTCCATCACGTGGGCATCGTGGTCGCCGGCGGGCCTCCTTGCCAACCATCCCCGGCTGTTTATCTCGCTCTCGGGCCTGCTCATGTCCAAGTTGATGTCGTCGATGCTAGTGGCGCGGCTGGCCGACCAGCTGTTCCCAGTCTACCACTCGATGATGCTCCCGCTCCCGTTTGCGTGCTTCAACTCGTACGCGGCGTACATGTCCGGGCGGGCATCGCTGGTGCCGGAGCTCGGCATGCTCCGCACTGTGTTTGTGGTCACGCTCCTGGTGTATGCCCAGTTTGTGGGCGGCGTGCTCGACGAGATGCGCGAGCACCTCAACATCTCGCTGTTCGGCATGAACCATGCGTGCCCAGTGCCGACTCCGCCGCCGCCTCCACCGCTCACCCTCTGTACCGACCCAAGATGTCCGTATGCGACAGTGAGCGGGAGTGGGGGCGGAGGGAGCGGAGAAGCCACAGACGATAGCGCGCTGGGCGCATCGTAGTGTGTATCGCATCAACCGTCGCGACTTGCGTGGTCGTCGTAGTCGTCGTCCACATACACCCATGCCTCGAGCACCCTTTTCGCCTTTTCGTATACCGCAAAGGTAATGGACGACGAGAGGACCATCGAGATGCGGTTGGAGACCCGGCCGCGCCACAATGCGCGCCAGCCCTCGTGGGCAACAGTGTCGCGGATGCAGGCGGCCATGGTGGCGAAGCGGAGCGGCTGGGGCTTGCCCATAGCCTCCAGTAGTGGCTGGGCCATGAGTCGCTTGCGAACAACATCAAACGGGAGCGAGATCGAGCGGGCAGCCATGCCGGCAAGGGCGCCAAAGACAAAGTGCTGGCCAAAGGCGAGCTCTGCTACCGAGGTAGCGCGAGTCAGCTCGGACGCAATCCATACTTCCTTGGCTGTCTCAAACACAAGAAAGGCTGCACCGTCGTGGAGCACAATGCCGATGCATGTCGGGAGTAGGCCACGGAACATGCCGCGGATGGTGGCCCGGGTCAGCGCGGCCCGCGGGCGGTTGGGGTGCATGGCCGCAGTCACGTGGAGCGCAATGGCTGACGAGAACGAGCCGAGCGGGTGCCCGCGCGGTGCCACCATCTGCGAGACCTTGATCAAGTCGAGCGGGTAGGTGCAGAGGACGGCAGTGAGGCCAGCGATCGAGCCGGCGGCAAACTTCTCAACTGGGCCAAACGGCGACGGCGGGGCGAGGCCGGTCGAGACCACAGCGCCCGACTCGTCTGGCAGGGTCAGTGCGAGCTTGATCTCCTCAAACACGCCGAATCGGATGCCCATAAACGGATCATCCGTGCCACCGCTGTCGTGTTGCCCTTCCACAGGCCAGGCAGGCCCTCGGCGGCAGCGAGCTCCTTGAGCGAGGCCTTGAGCGCCGAGGCCTCGGTTGCGCCGGCCACCGAGCACTGCTGGGTGATCTGGAACCGTGTCTTGGAGAGTGAGATGGGCGCAGTGACGCACCGTGCGAGCGCGCCCGACACCGCGCCAGCCGTCAAATGCGTCACCGTCGTCGGCGAGAACAGCAGGTTGCCGTGATCAAGAACGCCGGCCCATGGCGCCCGAACTTGGCGAGCATAGACCGAGCCCCAGGCAGCGAGCGTCGAGGTCGGGAGAAGCCGGACCGACGCCGATGAAGGGAGCGGAACTGTCTTGATGGAGACCAAGCCCGTCTCCGGCTCGCTTGCCATCACCCCAGAGGGGGAGGAGGATAGGTGAGACAGGTGTGTAGACTGAAGTAGAGGTAGTATTGGAGGCAATGAGAGCTAGCGAGGGTGTTGTTGAGTTGAGCTGTTGAGCGGGAAAACGGTGCCTGCGCATGAACGAACAATCATATCCCCCCTTCCCCCCCCCCTCCTTTGACGAAAACACGCCCTGGCACACCCGCGGTTCTCCCCTCCTTTTTTTGTCAACAATATTTTTCCCTAGCACCAAACCATCCCTGGATGGGCGACATTTGTTTTTTGCATTTGCGAGACCCACGTGCGACAGCCCGCGACAGCGCCACGTCCTTGTCCTTCCGCCCCCCCCCCCTCCGCATCTGCCAGAGCCAGGCGAACATAAGTATACTCATCTCCTCCCCCTTGGGCGACTATGGTCACCGACACAGGGAGGAAAGCCCATGTACGGATGGTGGTCCCTACACTCGTTCTTGCACTCGCACTCGTGGCTGTCTATGCCCCCCCGGCTGCCAACGCCGTCCCCTTTCCGGACGACCCTTGCAATGCGGCAACCGAATCCCGGTCAACCTCGATCACGCCGCAGCTGGAGCCTGCGCCGTCGGGCTACGTCCCCCGCAGCATTGCCACGGGAGACTTTAATGGTGACGGGATCGAGGATGTGGTGGTGGCGGGAACCATGTTTGGCTTTGACCTCCGCCTCACCTCGCTTGATGACTATGGCTTGCCCTCGTTCACCAGCGGCTACGATGCATCGGGTGACTACGAGAGCGCCGAGTGTGCTGTTGTTGCCGACGTTGACGGCTCTGGTACTCTTGACTTGGTCATCGTCGCCTCGTACCCGTCCGGTGTCCCTCCGTCGCCGATTAGCGAGCGCCGCCAGCCGTACCTGTACTCCAACGCAGACGGCAATGGCCTCTCCTGGTCGGTGATCTCGGTAGCGGAAGCGAGCGACTTTAACAGCAAGACCAACACCGCGCCGCTGAGTGCCAACTCCAACCCGTGCGTGACGGCGTTTGTGGACGACATCAGCCGGGACGGAGACGTTGAGGCTGTGTTTATCAATGCTAATGGCGGCGCGGTGTACAGCTACTCTCCGCTTGACAAAAAGTTCACCTTTGTGACCTCGCTCGAGGTCACGGGCGGTGGGTCGACCACCCACGCCGATGCAGTGCTCTCTGACTTTGACGGTGACACCGTCCTTGACCTGGCCATTCTCCTCGCCGATGGTCAGCTCGAGATCGCGCTCGGCTTGCCCGGCGACGACATGTTTGCCCGCGGTAACGTCATCCCTGGCAGTGGTGGCCTTGCCCGGTCACTTCTTATGGACGACATGGACGGTGATGGCTTGGTCCATGACTTTATCATTTTTACTCAGTTGTCAGTCCCGCCGACGCTCATCCGCGAGCTCGGCCCGAGCTCTTGGGACTCGCCGCAGCCGCTCACGATCGACACCGGTGGCGTGTCTATGCCCGGCATCGCCGTCGCTATCGACTTTGACGGCGATGGGGTGAAGGACATTTTCGGTGTCGGCAGCAGTGAGCTCAGCGAGGGCTCGTTCTTCCGCCGCACCTCGGCATCGACAGCTGCGCCTGCGTTTGCCCTCCATGGTGAGCTGCGCAGTCGTTTTGACTCGGGCTGTCCAAACACGCCCGCCCGTGCCCTTGCCGTGGCCGACATCAACAAGGACGGCATCGACGAGCTCGTTGTCTCGCAGCCCTGCCAATCATCGCCATCCGCCTTTGTCGTCAGCACTCGTCCACTCATGGCCGATCGCAGAGAGCTCGGTCACCAGAACGTGTTCGCCCGGTCTGATGCTCTTGTGGTCGAGGACTTTAATGGCGACGCGCTGCCCGACATTTACGGTGGTGCGTGGCTCTCGCTCGCCCGTGATGGCCAGGGCGGCTTCAACGATCCGTATCTGGTGCTCTCGTCGCTGGATGTCAATGCCGGCTACATCGATGCCGCTGCTCTTGACTTTGACGCCGACGGCGATATGGATCTCGTGCTCTCGCGGGCAGCTATCCTTACTTTGCGGTCAACGACGGTACCGGCCAGTTCTCATCAGTGGATCCGGCGTCACCGGTGGCTACCACCGCCGCGCATCTGCGTACCGCTACGTCGACCCCGCTCTGGGTCGAGACCGGTGGTGTGGCACCTGGTGCGACGTCAGCATGGCTTGTCGTCGCTGCGCGCGACACCATTGTGAACGTCACGGTGGTCCATTTTGAGCCTGATGTTGCCACCGTCACCCTCATCGACCGCTCGGCTACAAACGTGGCCTGGATCCAGGCCGCTGACATCGACGGTGACGCCACAGCAGATATAGTGGTTGCGCAGGGGAAGCACCTTTATGTGGCCCGCAACATCGACGGGACCGGCCGGTTCCCGGGAGTCACTGAGGCGTCTCTTGTCGCCTTTAAGCCGAGCGGGTTTACATTTGACGTCGCCTCGTTTGTCATTGCCGACGTTGACAACGACAACGTGCCCGATGTGGTCGCTGCTGGTCCCAGTCAGGTCGAAGTGGCATTTGGCACTTCGGGCGCTGTCCTCGCCGACGTCTTGCGGCCGCTGGTGGTGACGACCTCCAAGAGTGCGGCTTCGCCAGCGACCGCACTGCCACTGACTGTCGGTGACGTCGACAATGACGGCTTTGCCGACATCATCGTCCGCGCCTCCGGCCTCAAGACGTACATCAACCTGCTCCTCAACCGCCCAGCCCCGGGCCCTACCCAGCGGAGATTTGCCATAGCGGCACTTGTCGAACCGATTTCGGGGTCGTACTCTTCAGGTACGGCCGCCATTGTTGCCACCGACCTGACCGGTGATGGCCTGCTCGACGTGGTCACGCACGACAGGGTGGCGGTCAACCAGGTTTCTGCATTCCGTGGCGGGACCATCACTGTCCATGGCCAGCTTGCGACGGCGCTCAATGCCGGCGCTCGGACCTGGAATGCATCACGGGTCGCGTCCGTTGACGTTGTTAGCTGTGGCTACACCATCCACTGCATCGTCAAGGCGTACATGGCGTTTCCGGCGTGTAGTGGTGGCGCCACGCCGACGCTCACCCTCCCGGCCGGTACCTACACCGGATGCCGTGTCGGAACCGCGCTCCAACTTCGGCGCTCGGTCAACCTTGTGGCCGATGGCGCTGTCACCCTCGACTGCTCGGCCGGCTCGGGTCGCGGCGGCACGTTTTCCAGGTCGTCGGTGGAGCCACCGTCACGCTTGACGGAATCAACTTGGTTGCTGGGACGACCGCGCCCGGCGACCCGCGCGGAACGACTGCGCTCTCGGTCATTGGTGCCTCCTCGCATCTTGTTCTTCGCAATCTGGCGGTGAGTGGCGCATCGTCGGAAGTCTCGCCAAGTGCAGTCGCGCAGATTCTCCCGGGCTATGGCGGCGCACTGCTGGTCGCCGACGGCGCCAGTGCCGAACTTGTCAACGTCGACGCCATGAACAACACTGCTGCGGTGGTGGGTGGTTTGCCGCGGTGGTTGGTGATGGTTCGAGCCTGGTGGTGCGTCACTCGCGTATCCGCGGCAACCGGGCGCTGCGCGACGGCGGAGCGTTCTTTGTCCTTGCCCCGAGCGGCGCCCGTGCCGCTCTCCGGGTCTACGACTCGGACATATCTGACAACACTGCCGATGGCGGAAGCGGTGGTGGCGGTGCAGTTGCGCTTCGAGCCGCCGACGGTGGCTCAGGGCTCTCCTCGGAGCTTGTCGTTCTCGCCCGGACCACGCTCGCCCGCAACACCGCGAGGTGGGGTGGGGCACTAGCCGCGTTCACCGACGCCGCCTCGGTCACTGCCAACTTGCCGCGGTCGGCAGGTGAGCTGAGCCGTGCTGCAAGTGGGAGACCCAGCGCGCTCACCCGGCCCGCTGTTCACGCCATCAAGCTGACCGACGCCGTGTTTGTCGACAACGCTGCCGCCTACGGTGGCACGCTTTTCACCTGCGGCGTGCCTGTGGCTGCCAGCATGGCAGCTGTGCCATCGACACAGCTGTCGTCTCGCGCAGAGATTGGTGGCGGCTTTGCATTTGCCTGCTCCGCGGCAAGCGACGACGCCAGCGCGAGCTCGTGGTCGGTTTCAACGCCGTCGTTTGCGGGCCTGCCTTGGCTCGGCCTCGACGCGGGCATGGCGAGCATGGTTGGCGACGGGAGTCTTGCCGCGCTCTACGGTCGCGTCATGGGCACGCCGCTGGCTCGGGTCGAGTCTGCGTCGACCACAGCCGTACTCTCCAAGCCAAGCGGTGTGCCTGTGGGGCAGGATCTGGCGTTCCGTGGCTATGACGCGCTGGGCTCGCCCGTCATCGACAAGTCGCTGGTGCTTGAGGTGACGCTGGCGCCGGCGACGGCGGCTGCTGGCTTCCAGCTGGGCGGCGGCGATCCGCGGGCATTCTTCTCGCGCGAGCGGGTGGCGTTCCCCGAGGCGGCGGTCTCCCTGGTGTCGCTCGGAGCCGGCGCACAGGTTTTCGGTGCCGACTACTCGGGCTCTGTGGCAGTTGAGCTGACGGCTAAGATCGAGTCGGACACTAACCTCTCCGGCTCGCTCCAGGTCCTTGTCACGGCGTGTCCAGTCGGGTCGGGTCGGGTCTCGCGGCCGGAAGACGCCGTGGTGTGCGGTGTGTGCCAGGAGGGCACGCTTTCGGCCAACATCTCGCTCGCACCGTGTGAGCCGGAGCTTGTGTGCTCGGAGGGATTCTTCCTCCGTGGCGGCGTGTGCGTGACGTGCGATGCAAACCAGGTCCAGGTCTCGGTGGGGCGAGACAACGCGACCGAGGCTTGTGTTTGCCAGGCGACGTTCTACACACCGGACGCGCTGCCGGACACGCGCTGCTTGCCATGCCCGGATGGCGGCGTGTGCGCCGGCGGAACGGCGGCGCCGGTAGCTAGCGATGGCTTCTACGACGTGACGAATCCGGGCGGGAGCGCGGCGTTTGCGGCGTGCCGGAGACCGTCAGCGTGCTCGGGTGGCACCGAAGTGTGCAACAATGGATACAGCGGGTACATGTGTACCCGCTGTCTCGACGGCTACTACTCCGACCCGTCGCGGCGGTGCCAAAAGTGCCCTGCCGGCTCCGGCGGCCTGTTTGGCTTTGTCTGCGTCGCAGTCTTTGTCGTTGCCTTTTGCTTTGCGGGCTACCTTGCGATCGGCCACCGCAAGTCGGGCGCGGCGCTGGTCCGAGTCAAGGGCCTGGGCGGGAAGGGCACGGTGCGTGATGGCGAGAGCGGGGGGGAGGCCGAGTTTGAGGAGAAGCGCGACGCGCGGACCGATCGTTCCCGGTCAGTGCCGTACTCGCTCTCGATGGGCCTGCTCTTTCTGCAGATTTTGGGCGTGCTGGGCACAGTCCAGCTGAGCTGGCCGTCGCAGACGCGCGACTCGCTCTCTGCGTTTAATGCGCTCAACATGGACATGTCGCTTTTTGCGACCGAGTGCACGCTCACCACGTTTGCGGCCAAGTACTACCTCGGCCTTGTGTGGCCGCTGGTCATGATTGTGGTTCTTGTTCTCTGTTGGTTTGTGCTGCGGCTGCTCGGGGTGGGGCGAGCCGACGACGGGACGACGCTGCCCCTCTCGCGACTGCTCGAAGGCGTACTCTTCACCCTCGGCCCGCTGGCGTACATCCCGCTCTCTCGATCTGCGCTCATTCTCTTTGACTGCACGCAGCTCCCGAACGGCGACTTTCACCTCGACGCCGACCTGGGTGAGCGGTGCTACGTCGACGGATGGTGGTCGCTGCTCCCAGCCGGCATCCTTGGCGTACTTTTGTACGTGGTGGCGGTTCCGGCGTACATGGCGTACGTGCTTTACACTCAGCGCGACGGGCTCTTCACCGATGAGACCGTACTCGCGCGGTACGGCTCGCTGTACAAGCTCTACAAGCGGCGGTTCTTCTACATGGAAATTGTGCTGCTGGGCAAGCGGCTGCTCATTGTGGTTGTCTCGCTCTTCTTCTCGGACCTGCAGCTCTGGCTCGTGGGCGGCCTGCTTGTTGTCTTTCTCGGTTTTGCCTTTGTGGAGGTCCGGTGGGAGCCGTACTACCTCCCGGTCTACAACGTCGTCTCGATCCAGATCGACCTCGTGCTCTCAACGCTCCTCCTTCTCGGTTTTGCGTTTTATGCCGACCGATTCCCGTCGGCCACCTCGCGCGATGTGCTCATGGTCTTCTCGATCATCATGGTTGTGCTCGGCTGCCTTGCGCTCCTGTTCGGACTCGTCCGCGAGCTGCTGGGGCGGCGGCAACGCGAGGCGGTCGATCTGGCGCAGACCCGGTTCTGGTCCATGCTCGACAAGGAGGGCGCCGACTGGGTCGACCAGACCGCGCTCGAGCGAGTGTGGTCGATCCGCGAGGAGGCGAGCCCAACCCGTGCCCTCGCACCTTCCGGGTCGACCGTCGATCTCGTCCCGGCCTCGTCGGCCTTCTCCGTCGCGCTCCTCCCGCTCGACACGCCCTCTGGTCAGCCTGGAGCCGCAGCGAGCAGCACATCCGCGAGCACATCCTCGAGCACATCCTCGAGTACAGCCTCGAGCTAATCGAAAGTGCCCAAAGTTGTGATAAAAGCAGCACCCGCGCACGCGCATGCGCACGTGACCGTCGTCAACATGCCGTGGGCGGCGGCGGCGGCTGCGTTCCATTCAATCCCGGTTTCCATCACCAATACCCAACAGCGACCACGGAACGCGTCGCCATGACGACCAAAGGCGACAGGGAATGTAGGCGTCCTCTCGGGGAGCACACTTGACGCAGGCGCACGAGACGGGGGGGAGATAGGCGCCACTGGCAGCAAGTACGAGCAAGGAGCGAGCGAGCAAGGACACGGCGTGTGATGCGGTGGGACGTGTGGGTGGTTGCGGTGGTGGCGGTGGTGGCGGTGGTGGTGGTGGGCGGAGTGGCTGGCGAGCGCGAGGCTCGGTCGGTCCAGCTTTCGCCGCGTCGATTCGTGGAACTCAACCGCAACTCGGAACCGTTTGGCTTTCTGGCTGGTGGACGGGCTCAGCTATGGCTGACATACTCTGCAAACGAGGCGCATGGCCTGCGGTTCCTCTTCTGCACCGACCAGCAAGTGGCTCGCATCAACCGCGAGTTTGGCTCGGTCGGCGCACTCTGCGACGGCGGCGATGAGGTGCAGTGCACCATCAACGCGCCGGTGGCCAACGGATCATATGCGATGGACATGGTGATGACTGAGAAGAATGTGTACTATGCGCTACTGGGCAACTGCGAGGCGTCATCGGCGTCGGTCCACTTTGCGTATGTGTTTGTCAATCCGGGCGGCGAGCACCTCTCGTTTGGCTACATACCCATGCCGAGCATGTACACATGGATGGCAGCGGTGTGGTGCGTGGCGTTTGTGGCGTGGGCTGGCAACCGCATCGTGCACTGGAACCGGCCGATTGGGCTCAACTCGGTGGTGGGTGCGCTCGGTGCGGCCAAGATTGTGTGGGCGTTGGTGGCAGCGTGGTACTGGACGCATTTGTCGCGGTTTGGGGTGACCGAGACGCGATTGGACTTGGTGTACTATGCGGCGCTGGTGGCGTGCCGCTGCCTCTTCCTCGCGCTGGTGCTCCTCTATGCCATGGGCTGGTGCATCACGCTTGCAGCGCTACCGCAGCCGATGCAGCGGATGCTCTGGGCATGCACCGCCATTCTCGCGGCGACCACGGTGTTTGACACGTACTCGCACTCGTACTACTTGTTTATCGTGGTCATTGTGTACGTCATGCTGCTGCGGGCTGCATTTTCGGCGCTCGCGGACAACATCCGCACGGTCCGGCTCCAGCTGCTGACGGTCGAGTCGGGCAACATCGACCCGATAACCACGCCCATTAACCACAAGCTCCTCATGTTCCGCTGGCTTCAGTCGGCTCTGGTGTACTTTATTGTTGCCCGGGTCCTTGTCTCGATCGTCGCCGTCTTTGCTTTTTCCCACTACCCGTGGATCACCGCGCTCCTTGCCGAACTTCTAGAACTTGGCCTCTACTGCTTCCTCGGCTACGTGCTGCGGCTTCGCAACTTTGCGCCGTACGAAGAGGCACCACTGGCGACGGGCTCGGGGCAGGCAAGTAGCCATTCCGGTGCAGCTTCCCGCCGCGGCAGAAGCGCGGCGAGCGGTGCGCACCTGGACCGCGATATGGCGTCGGCACGCGTGGTGGGCACGCTGACGCGGTCCGCGATTCCTGCGCCGCGGCGGAGCGGGCGCAACGGCCCGCTGCAGACCTGGCGTCCGGGCATGGCTCTGCCTAACACTCCGGCGTTTGCGGCGGTTGCGCCGCCGTCGGAGCCGCACGTCGCGCTGGTGGTGTACCCCGCGGCGCCGCGGCGGGGTGGCAGCCGCAACGGCGGAAGAGACGACGACAGCCAGTACTCGTCCCCTCTGGTTGCGGCACACTTTGCGATTGGCGTCAAGATCGACGACAACGAGGCTGACCATCATTAAATCATGCATGGCTTTGTCGGACAGACCGGCTCGTTTATCGCATCCCGGCAGCGTTAGACATTGCCCTCATAGTCCATCCACGTGCTAATCTTGTCCTTGTGGTACTGCTCCTCGGGAAGCCGTTCCATGATGGCGGCAGTGGGCTTTGGGTACGGGACGGTGCCGCAAGCAACGCGGGCGTCACGAACGACGACCGAGCGCATGCCGACAGGCTCAGGCGCGGCTGGGTTGCCATCGAACACATGCTTCTTGCCGCGAATCCGCTCGCCGCCCTCGACGATGACCGTTCCCGCAACGGCGTCGTCGGTCGCCAGTGGGTTGCGGGTGGCGTAGGGATCGCGGACGCGCAGCGCTGGGCGGAAGGCGACGTGCGAGGCGGCAAGCCCCGCAGCACCGCCATGGGCTGCGTGCGAGGAAGAAATCCAGCGGTCCTCATTGGCTTCGGCCGCAGTGGCATCGACCGGCGCCGACGGCAGATCGCCGAGCGGCGCGGTGACCTCGGCAGCCTCTGCGGCGCGGCGAAGCTCGAGATGGCGGAGGACGGCGTCGGCCTCGACGAATGGACGACCGGTAGCAACCCTCACTGGGCCCCGGGTGACATTGACATGGACATCTGCTGTGTATGTAGAAGCTGACGTCGAGGTGTACTCCCGGAAGCCCCCGTCGGGCAGCGAGAGTGTCGGCGGCGGTGGCTTGGGGTGGGCCCGGGTGTAGGGGACCGAGGGCAACGGCGCCCGCTTCGAGCGCCCCACAGGGTCGTCGTGCAGCCTGTCCTCGTACCAGTTTCCTGTAAGTGTTCCACAAGAGTATGTCGTCATATTGTGTGTGTGTGGGAGGGGCGAGGTGGAGTGTTGGTGAGGGAGGAGGAGGAGTAGAGGACGAGAGCACCGACGATAACGGACAAGCGCAGCGGCAGCAGTGCCAACATTACGGTTATTTGACAGGTAGTGGGTTTACCGAGAATCCAAGGGGTGGGGGGTGGGGGGTGGGGTGGAAAATTTTGTTTCTATTGTGATTTGTGTCGGGTTCGGGGGTTCCTTCCCGCGTGGGTTTTTATTCCTTCCATGCGAACGTACCTTGTCAAGGACGAAGTGGGGCAGAAGGGGGATAGGGCTACAAGGCGGGTCGCGACGATAGAGCTACACACGCACACATCACCACATACACACACGAACGCGCCCATACACACGCACACACACACACAAACATATAGTGTGCCCCCCCTCCCCCCCTTCACCAACCAACCGCGCCAGCGTCCAAAGTGCGGCAGAGGAAGCATGCGCAGGCAACGGAGCACCGGGTGGACCGGCACGGGCAACGCGGGGACAACGGGCTCGACACCCATGCCCATTGCCAGCAGTAGGAACGGAAGGAGAGGCACCGGGCCGAGCAGAAGCAGCCAGCCGTTCCCGCAGCAGCCGCAGATCCAGCAGCCGCAGGCGTACCGAGCGATGGCCTTGGTCGCCTCGCCGCCCGACGCCCGCTCCTGGGCCGTCCTTCGCCAGCGAACAACGCCATCACCGCCCACATTGGCTTCCGCCGCCGCCTTTGTATCGAGCTCATCACCGAGCGTGGTCGACGGAGGCGGTGGGCGACGGTTTCCTGGCGGGCGACGGGCAAGTACGGGTGGCGTGCTCGCGCAAGTGCCCGAGGAGGCTGCACAGGCCGAGGCTGTGGCACCCATCGTCGACGACGCCGCGGTCGCTGCCCATCTCGCTGAAGCGTTGGAGGTAGCGAACAAGGCGGTCCACGACCTGGAGCTGGCCGAAGGCAGTGAGGCGGCGTTTGCGCTAGTCTTTGACGCCGGCGCCGCGTACATCCCGCATCCGGCCAAGGCGTACAAGGGCGGCGAGGACGCTTGGTTTGTGGCGGACGACGGGTCAGCGCTTGGTGTTGCCGACGGGGTCTCGGCATGGGCCAATGTGCCCGGCGCCGATGCCGGCCTCTTCGCCCGCTCGATAATGGAGGCGGCCGAGGAGGCGGCCAACGTGCGGATTGCGCCGGACGGGTTTGCCAAGCCAGCGTCGCGGATTGTGCTCGAGGCTGCGGCCAGGACGTCCAAGGAACTCATTGGCTCGGCGACGGTATGCGTCATCTCTCTTGTCGGTGACAAGCTGACCTCGGCCAACATTGGCGACTCGTCGTTCCGTATTCTGCGGCGGCGGCCGGGCGCGCGAGTGTACTCGATCGTGCAGTCGGGCGAGACGCGGCAGCACTCGTTCAACTGCCCGGCGACACTGGGCACGGCGTCGTCGGACACGCCGGCCGACGCGGCGGTGGCGTCGACCAAAGTAGCTGAGGGCGATCTGGTGGTGGTCGCCACTGACGGCGTATTTGACAATGTCTTTGACGTCGAGCTAGAGCGGGTCATCTCTGCGCTCGCCGAGCACGATCCGCGGCACATTGCCAACACGCTTGTCGAGCTGGCGTGCGCCAATGCAACGTCCTCCAAGCCGTCGCCGTGGGCGCGCGACGCCGCACGGCACGGCCGAATGGCGCGCGGCGGCAAGGTCGACGACACGTGTGCGGTCGTCGCCCGGGTTGTCGTTCCCGAGCCTGACGCAGTCGCTACCCGCAAGGCGACAATGGTGCTCGACGAGGTTGAGCCGGCGAGCTACAGTGCCAGCGACGTGTCGTGGGGCCCGATTCCGGGCGCGGCGGCGTCGCCGTGGGGCATGGCGCGAATGGGGGCGTCGCCGAGCGACGTCGCCGCCGCCCGCACGCCCGCCATGCTCGTCACCTCGCCGCCGTCAGCCGAGCCGGAGCGGCCGCCACCGGCCAAGTACTTTGCCGCCCACGAGCAGCTCGGCTTCCAGCGGTCAGTCCCGTCGCTCGCTGTCTCACCACACGAGTTCAGCCCGGCGGCGCCATCGCTTTCGACCTCACCATCGCCCGCGAGCTCAATCTCACCGTCGTACTCGACGTCCCCCGGCCCGATGTCGTCGTCACCGCCGACCTACTTTATGCCGCGGCGTGGTGTGTGGCGGTGATGGTGTCGGCGCAGCCGCGCGCCACATGCCGGAGCTAAACATCATGAGAACACTGTCACACCGAGCCGAACACCATGTCCTGCACCGTGTTGACCGAGGCCACGAGGGCGTTGACAGTCCCGGTCACCTTGTCCATCGACCGCTTAAAGTTGGCGTCGGCGACCCGGAGCGAGGCCTCGAGCGCATCGGCACTCGCCTCGGTGCGCACTGCACTCTCTGTGTTCTGCTGGACCCGCTCCGCGAGCGCGCGCAGCGTAGCGTGGAGCTCTGTGGCAAGCACGTCGCGAGCGGCGGCCTCGCGCGTCGCGGCGGCTTCAGCAGCCTCGCTTGCGGCGCCCGAAATGGCGGGCAGCGTACCGTCGACAAGCTCGTCGAGCGCGGCTTCGCACGTTGCGGTCCTGGCCTCAAGCGTGCCGATTTCGCTGGCAGTTGCCGCGCGGAGCTCGTCCAGTACTCCGCGCAGCTTGTCCATGTCGGCAGCGGCGTCCGAGGCCCGCACGCCTGCATCGTCGACCCGGCTGGTGAGATCCTCGACCGCCTGCAGCGCCGCGTTGTGACCCTGCGTCAGCTCGTTGAGCCTTGCGCGAAGCGGCTCGTACGCCGACGTCACCGAGTTGGAAAGTGCAGAGACAGCACCCTCGACGTGGGCGGTGACCGAGGCGACCGAGGCGCGGATGTCGTCAAGCGCCTCTGCCGCCGGCCGGGACTCGTCGACTCGCGCCTCCACGGCTGCGGTCCGGGACTCCAGCTGGGCCAGCAATGCAGAGGTCTGGGCCTCAGCTGCCGCGCGCTTGGCCTCCTGAGCGTCAGCTAGCTGGGCCATGTCGTCTGCAAGCTTGGAAAACTCCCCCTGCGCTGCGTCGAGCGCCGCCCGAAAGTCGGCCTCGCGCGCGGCCCGCAGCCGCGCCTCCATGTCGCCGAGCGAGGTGCGGAGCTCGACGCGAGCGTCAGCTATCTCGCGCGAGAGTCGTTCATCCAGCTCGGCGAGCGCGTCAGGAGAGTTTGAGGGAGGCGGCGGCAGAGGCGGCGGTGGCTGCGACGCGAGCGCGTCGGCAACCGCTGTGGCGACCACTTCACGGAGCTCGGCGGCAAGCTCGGCACGGAGCGCGTCACACCGCGAGTTGACGTGGTCGCGCAGCGCATTGTCGCGAGTGTCGGCCAGCTCGGCGGCATCGGCGATGGACGAGGTGACCATGAGGCGGAGGTCAGCCAGGACGGCAGCGAGATCGGCGCGGAGCTCCGAGGCGAGGGCGTTGCGTCGGGCGTCGAGCGTGGCCTCGAGCGAGTGGACCGAAGTCCGTGTCGCGCCGGCCACCTCTGCAAGGGTGTTACGCACGCCGGCGAGCTGGCTCTCCAGCTGCTGGCGATGAGCGCGAGCGTCGGGATCGGCTGCGGTGGCCAGGCCGTCGACGACAGCGGTCTTGAGCTCGGCCACATGATCGGCCAGAGCGCGGACAGTAGACTCGAGCTGGGCGTGAGCATCAAGAGCCACGGCCACGTTGCCATCAACATCGCAGACGGCAGCCTCCAGAGCACCGACAGCTTCGCCCAAGGCAGCCACGCGTCCGCTCGTCCCATCGGCTCCCTCGCCCAGCCTGTCGAGGACCCGGGCCTGAGCGCCAAGCCGTCGCTCGGCAGCCTCCAGACGGACCCGCATGGACGTGGCGGTGGGGCCCGGGCTCTGTCGGGCGTAGCCCCTGGACATGAAGAATAGGGGGAATGTGGGCGGGGGAGGGAGAGGGTGCGCGAGCCGAGCCAACCAGCGCGCCACCGAGTCACCGCGCGCCACCGACTCACCGCGCCACCGAGTCACCGCGCCACCGAGTCACCGCGCCACCGAGTCACCGCGCCACCGAGTCACCGCGCCACCGAGTCACCGCGCCAGGACACGGTGCCCGCCTCACCGCGACCACTCGCCCCGCCACACCTCTCCATGGTACGCGCGCACACACACACACTCATACATACATACATACATACATACACATATACACACGCACACACGTGAAAGCGTAATACACTTACCCTCTCCTCACCCTCCCTCCTCCCCTCACAGGACGCTGGCCTTCACCACTACCACAGGGACCAGAGGCTGATCGACGTGGTGGACGACGAGTGGCGACGCGAACAGCTTCCCCTGAACCCCATCGGTGCTTCTTCTCCGCACGGCTCAGCTGGTGGTGCTCATTCTTCGGACGTTGCTTCCTCTGCGTCAGCTTCTGCTCCGGGCCCGACGTCTGCTCTTCCCCTGCCGCCGCCGTCATCGTCTGCTGACTCGACTCAAGCGAGAGACGCCTGGCTTGATCTAGGCCTAGACCGCATCGCTTAGTGCCACCTTCACCGCCAATGGCTGGCTCTGCTGCTTCCATGGCCGAGCCTGCTGCTGCCATGGCCGAGCCTGCTGAGGCTTCCGTGCCTCCTGTGGATCCGCAGGAGAGTGAAATGCCGCACAAGCCGCCGACCGAGTCGATGCTTGCCAATCCCGACGCAGAGAAGACCCTGGTCGAGCCCGCCCGTCCTCCTACCTTTGTTGATGAGCCGAAAGAAGCCGCAGTGTCCGGCGAGTCCAGCGCCAGCTACAGCGGCGATGACGACGACGATGCGCCCAGCGCCGAGCCGGCCGCCTCCGAGCCGGACCTCAAGGCCACAGTCGAGGCACAGGCCCGCGAAATCGAAGAGCTCAAGGCTCTTCTCGCCGCTGCGTCGGTCCATGCTGCCCACTCTGACTCGGGCGACGACGCCGACACAAACGCCGACGCCGAAGCCGAAGCCGACACCCTCACTCCGGCATCACACAAGACCAAGTCGCGCAAGGCCAAGTCGCGCAAGTCGCGCAAGTCGCGCAAGTCCAAGTCGCGCAAGTCCAAGTCACGCAAGTCCAAGTCGCGCAAGTCGCGCAAGTCTCACAAGTCTCACAAGTCGGCCAAGCCCAAGGCCAAGGCCAAGGGCGACGCGAGCAGCTCGTCGGACGACGAAGAGGCCAAGGCTGAGGAACGGGCCAAGATCGCCGGTCAGTGCCGCGCGCTGCTGTACAAAGTCCGCGGGTACAAGCCGGACAAGCTTTCGGGCGACCCGAAGCGTCTGGCGGCGCGTCTTAGGGCGGCGGCGCACGACCTCAACGCGCTCCTCCGTGACTGCGTCATCTCCACCAAGAAGCTGCGCCGCATCCGCACCGCGCTCCGGGAAACGCTCGACTACCTCGAGGCCGCCTCGGGCTGGCTCGGCTCGTGGTGGGGTCCGCCAACCATCAAGTACAAGGTCATCTGCGGAATGTGGGACAAGGCGTTCCTCGACCTCGCGGCCGCCACAGTCAAGGCTCGCAAACGCTTTGAGCAGCTGCGCGCGGCCAACGCTTAAACCCTTTACGGTACGAAAAGGACTATTTTGTCCATCGCGCAAGACGCGCTCCACGACAGGCGAGGCAGTCTCGTCGCACGGCGGCTCGCTGGAGAAAGTGATGATGACGAGCAGCCGCTGCAGAGGGACGCTTGCGCGACGGCGCGGAGCTGACGGCGTCGGCGCTGGCGGCGAGGGCGTCGATGATGTCGTAGAGAAAAGCCACGCAAGTCATGGTGGGGCGTGGGCTCGCATCAGCGTAGAGCGCATACGCGGCGTCCAGAATCCACCGCTTGCGCGGCCACGCCGACCGGCAAGCTCGTCCGTCGTAAGACGTCCTCGCGCTCTCCCCTCTGGCCGCTGTGTTCAACTATGTCATGCTCTCCTTCCCGGTCGTCGGGGCCATCAACGACAGGCTCCGCACCGTCCGCGCCCGCCGGTCCTCCGGATCGGCACCGTACGGCACATCGCGTGCCTTGCCCATGCTCCCAGGCGTCTGTCACCGTGACGGCAGCTCGGGCATTCTTCAGGCAGGCATCTACGTGTCGGCAGCGATCACGCATCGGGCGCGCCTCCCGCCTCAAGCCGCAGGCCACGCATGCGTCGCGCAGCGTCGGCCGGTGACCTTGAAGTCAAGCATCATCGAATTGTTCACTTTGAGATGCGCGACAACGCGTCCGAACGACCGTTCCAAGGGATAGACTGCCACTGGTGCGCGCCAAGTCGCAGATCTTCAGTTTACCACTGTGGCTCGGGGCATGCTCACCAGCACCCGGCCTGGAGGGTGGGGACCATGTCGAGGCTTTCGACGTCGATGCCCATGCCGCGGGCGACGTCGTAGAGGTGCGCCGGCTGGAGATCGGCAGGGAGCTGCGGCGTGCGGGAGAGGATCCACAGGTCGCGCTCGCCAATGCCAAACTTCTCCTCGCACGACCAGATGACTGCAACCGAGTAGCCAGATGCAGCGTCGCCGTAGAGCTGGGTGATCCAGTACGGGCCGAAGATGTCGAGGAAGAACGAGACCTTGAGCTTGCCGCCGGAGACCTGAACAGCCTTGCCGATGGCCGACTTGAGCGGGCCAGAAACCGAGTCGATGCGGCCCGAGTTGTTGACCTTGACAGTGCCGGACGGCTCGAGTGTGTACTCGGCCGTCTCGCACACAAGGCCCTTTTCAAACTTCTTCTGGAACGCAGCATTGGTCGCGATCTGGTACCACGTTCTGCGCAAGTCCATCGCTCCGTCGGTGAGTGTGACACGGGTGATGACGAGGAGTCGCACGTGGCCGAAAAAAAGAAACGCCGAGGAAACGTACCCCATGTAGGCCTCCAGGTCAACCGTATCGTTGGTGGGGACCTTGGGGCAGGAGAATCCGTTCGAGTTGACGGGGCAGGTGACAACGAGGACGACCACAGTGACCGCCAGGTAGATGATAGGGGACATGGTGGTGCAAAAGTGCTTGAGAGTTGAGTGTGCGATCTCTCTGTGGTGGCGCTGAGAGCGGGTGCGGGAGGGGCGTGCCGAGGGAACGGAATGGATAATGGCGTGACATGGTGTGGCGTCAGCCCAACGCAACTGACCAAATCTGAGCCGGATGGAGTGGAGAACACCCAACTGACCAAATCTGAGCCGGATGGAGTGGAGAACACCCTCAACTGCCGCCAAGCGGGGTGCTCGGCTGGCTCGACGACTTGAGATTTCCTCGCATGTACTGCGCTGGCCTTCAGTCCCTGCGTTTCGTGCCGATTGGCACGGTCACCCGCAGGAACATGAGCCACAGCCGCACGCTCACGTACACACGAGCGCCCAGAGGGCCGTACGTCGCCGTCGTCGCACCTCATCATCAAAGGGTGCGTGGGCGACTTTCCGCTTCTCCGGCGCTGATTGTATCGACGCCATCGGAGCTGTTGGCATGGTCGCGTGCCAGCCGCATCGCTCAGGTTTGGAGGCGGGGTGATGGAGGAAGCATCGAGGTTGAGGTTCTCACGGGAGAGGGATCATAAGGCAAGGGCTCGGACTAGAGAGGAGGGAGGGGTGGACAGGGCCCAATGGCGGTATTTGTGGTGTGTCATTAGGGGTGGTACAGAGTGGCGATGAGCCGATCGTCGATGTGGCTAGCAGACGACTCGTCGGCGGCACCTGCTTGCCATCCTCCATCACCTCATCGAAGGGGCTCCAGGTGGACAGATGCAAGTGCAAGGATGTGAGCCGGCGTGCGGCGGGAGAGAAGCCAGCTACTGACGGGCCGAGGGCGGCTGGGAGATGCCGAGGCCGATGTTGTTGGCCTTGTCCATGCGACGGAGCATGGGCGCGTGGGTGAGAATGGAGGGGAGGATGACGTAGCGGACCTGCGAGCCACGAATAAAGGCCGATCCCAGCGACGACTTTGATCCGTCCTTGGCCCGCTTGACCACCTCCTTGAGGAAGACGTTCATCGAGTCGTCGGCCTCGTCGAGCAGCCCGCGATAGACGTCACCGGCCTTTGTCTCCAGCGTCACCTTGTGGCCTACACACACACAGAGAGAGAGAGAGAGAAACACCCAGACACATATACATACGTGTGTACATACAAGAGATAGTGAGTATGGAGGAGGGGAGGGAGGGGAGGGAGGGGAGGGGGGGGGAGAGAGAGAGAGGGCGTACCTTCGGCTTCATGGAGGAGCTTGATGGGCACACCGTGGGAGGCCATGGTTGTGTGGGGGAAAGGTAGGGGGAGGGGAGGGGAGGGAGGGGGTGGGGGTGGGGGGGGGTGAGGGGGTGAGGGGTGGTGGAGTTGGGGTGGGGTGGGGTGAGGTGGGTGGAGGTGGGGCGGGCTGTGCCGAATGCTGTCGTAGGCTACGTACCCATCCCCCCCTGCCAGTGGCCCTGCTCCTGCCAAGTCGCACTCACAGCCACACCACCAACACCACCATCACCACCATCACCATCATCCCATCACCATCACCATCATCACCTTCACATCACCATCCCACACACACACTACCCATACACACACACGCACACACACACACACCTCCCCCCCC